ATACCCCGCCTATCTGGACGACTCATCCACTCTAGGCGGCTGATGGAAAAAGAATCTTTAAAAAATCTCCCCATCCATGTCTTAGCATCTTCACAAGATGGGCAGTCTTCACTTGCAGCCTGAAAAAAAATATAATTTGGGGTGACAGTTCGAACAAGCCCCTAGCCAGTTAGCAGGATGCCTCTTCTGTGATGTCACTTCCTGCAGAACCTCAAGATAACCATTTATTGTGGTTTAAGCTTAGCCATGTTTATCCCAGGCCTTCCTGTCCTGTTGCTTCTAATCTGGTTGCCCACAAGCATCTTGGGCTGTCTGCAGTGTGACCAGAAATTCAAGGAGAACGTAGCTCAGCTCCGGACAGTGGTGGTACCACGCCAGATCCATGACACTCGTCTCAAGGAACGGGCTGAAGTTTTACTCAAAGGTCTTGAAGGAAACTTCTTCGTGCACTATGCCACCAGCCAGTTTTCTGGTTTTGCTGGTACTGCTTTAGCTCTGGTTAATATTGGTGTACCATACCTCTGAGCCCTTTTCTCTGGTGGTGAATGCACAGTTCTTACCTGAACAGTACAAGGGATCCAAACGTCCTACCGCTAAATAATGTGGCTTGTAGCTGAGGAAAATGTCATCTCTTCCCAAGCTTACATTTCTAGTGCCTTTTCTGAATTGCAGGGAGGGATTTAATATTTTTTACTCAATGATTATGGTGGCAGCAATATCGAAATTAAATTAACCATACTTTTGTTCAAGACTTAACTGATTTCCAGTGATCCAAAGGATGTGTTTCTAATTGCAGGTCTCTCTTGGGCCTCCAAACGAAACTTGAATTGACGGGGCGGGAGGAGGACTTAAAACAGGCTTTTTTACTATATAAAATAAGGTGTGGGAAGCACTCCTTATTCTAGAGGCAAGTTACTTACCTTTTAAAAAAAATATATCCTGGTAGGGTTTCAGGAGATCGCAAGAATGGAACTGGGGGCACACAAGCAGTCCATGAGCCGTGCAATTTGCCGACCTGCTTTGTTCTCATTTTCCTGTCATCCGTTTTCTCCTACCTGCTGCCCACCAGATGTGTTTGACTGAGATTCCCATCATTCCCAGCCAGCATGATCTCTAGCCAGCATAGCCAAAATACAACCCATCGGGAAGGCACTAGGATTCTCTAAAGCCCCCTTGACTTCAGTGGGACTGAAGCATTAGTAGTACAGAGCAGTGGTCCCCAACCTTTGGCCTCCAGATGTTCTTTGACTACAACTCTCAGAAGCCTTCACCACCAAGAAAATCTGGAGGCTCATGGTTGGGGATCACTGGTGTAGAGCATTGTGCTACTAGCCAAGAGCCACGGAAGCTGACAGCAGGAGAGCTGAAAGAATGCTGAATCCAACATTCCCAACCCTTAACGTCAGGATCCTTAACTTGACCTAATTCTCTGAAGGCATCATGGCTGTGTCGCTAGGACAGAAGCGGCGTGGATGGGGCATAAACCATTCCCCATTTTAACAATCTGGGAGACCATTTTTTAGCTAACTCAGCTATTCCACAGGCCAATCTCTGAGAATAGCTAGTAGAAGAGCCCTCTGCTGATGCTAATAATTCCCCACAGATAGTGCATCTTTGAGTTCAGCTTGCACTGTAAGCCTAAAATACTTACAAAGTTTCAGCAACCTCTAGCTAACATAGCCAGTGGCCATGCTGGCTGAGGGATTTAGTTACAGCACCAAAATGTAACTTTCCCAAGATCTGGTTTATTAATTATTACTCATCTTACACCTTAAATAAATGTGGTCCTGTGCAATAATTTAGCACACACAGGCGCCTACAATGTAAATGTTGACATAGGGGAACAAGAGAGGAAGAAAAACCGAAGTTAGGTAAAGGTATAATATATTCATATGTTAGTTTTGGTCTCTATAGAAAATCTGGGTTTTGTAGAGGAAATGGAAAGAAGACAGATCTATCTGAACACGTTCTGCAAAACAGTTCAAGGCCTAAAGGACAAGTGATTTTTAAAAGCCCCACTCAGGCAACCAAGGGAAAGCTTGACCGAAGAGAAAGGTCTTTGTCTGCTTGTGGAGGGACAGCAAAGATGGGGCCAGTCTGGCCTCCTGTGGGAGGGTGTTCCAGAGTCTGGGAGCAGCAACAGAGAAGGCCCTCTCCTGTGTCCCCACCAAATGCACTTGTGAAGGTGGTGGGATCGAGAGGAAGACCCCTCCTGATGACCTTAACACTTGAGCAGGTTCATAAAGGGAGACACAGTCCTTGAGGTAGCTTAGACCCAAGCCGTTTAGGGCTTCATAGGTTAGAACCAGCGCTTTGAATTGTGTCCTTGATGTTGTATTTCCTGCATTGAAGTCAAGGGGGTAATATGTAATATGTACATAATCTCCTCCCAGCTTTACCCCACCCCACTGTGGGGTGGATCAGGCAAATTAAGAGTGCCTGGCTTAAGGTCAAAAGGCGTTTCATGGCTCCGTGTAGACCAGAAGACAAATTGCCCAATTTGTAATTTAGTTCTTGGGTACCGCACCACCTGTTGGGGTGAGGGACTGTTAAGTAAGCTTTTATTTGGAAAAGTATGCAGTGTAACTCTGCACGCTGTATTTCCTGCATTGAAGTCAAGGGGGTAATATGTAATATGTACATAGTCTCCTCCCAGCTTTACCCCACCCCACTGTGGGGTGGATCAGGCAAATTAAGAGTGCCTGGCTTAAGGTCAAAAGGCGTGTTTCATGGCTAAGTGTAGACTAGAAGACAAATTGCCCAGTTTGTAATTTAATTCTTGGGTACCGCACTTCCTGTTGGGGTGAGGGAGTATTAAGTAAGCTTTATTTGGAAATGTATGCAGTGTAACTCTGCACGCCGCAGATTCTCAGCAGCTCCCTGATACGCTCAAATTTGCTGTGCCTTTTCTCTGATTGAGGACATTTTGCAGATCTTGGCAATGGCAACTGGCTATCTTTCCCTTCTTCCCAGTTAAAAGCAAAGTGGATGCCCTGATCGAGGAGGCGAGGTCCCGCACAGCCACTCTGCTCCGAACACCTGCTGAAGGTGACGTTCAGGACTTCTTGTCCCCCCCCCAAAAAATGACCTCATGCTGCCGAACTAATGCCCCTGTTTTCCATAGAGCTTAGGAAAGTTACTTTTATGGATCACAGCTCCCAGCGTGCCTTAAGCCAGCATGGCCCAAAGGCATATTGGCTGGGTCCTTTTGAGAGTTGTAGTAACTTTTCCAAGCCTTGCATTTTGCTCCATGTGACCTTTGCCTGAAAAGCCCTCCTGAATATTAGATAATGAAGAACAGTAGTTCCTAACCTTGGGTAACCCCGGTGGACTGCAATTCCCAGAAGCCTTCACTACCAGTTATGATGTCCAGAGTTTCTGGGAATTGCACTCCATGAACGCCTGGGTTACCAAGGTTGGGAACCACTGGTGTAGGGAGTATTGAACATTTCCATCCCATCCCATAAGGTATCTTCTCAATCCCTCCATGAACGCCTGGGTTACCAAGGTTGGTGGGAACCACTGGTGTAGGGGGTATTGAACATTTCCATCCCATTCCAGAAAGTATCTTCTCAATCTATCCTCAGACCTGGCTCTGCTGGACAAATTGGTTACATTCCGTAGGAAAACCACCATGAAGCTCAAACAGGCATTGAAGGAACACCAAGTGAAAGGTACGGGATCTTCTTCAAGCTTTTACCCCAACTGGATCTTCTCCTGCAGAAAAGTGTGGATGGTTTTGTTGGTGCATACAAAACATAGGTGGATAATAGAAAATTTATAGCAGATATATTCATTTTTGGATATTTCTTTTTCTTTTTCCTACAGCTTGTGACAAAGAGGGCTGTGGTAAGTGGATCTCATTGCATTACTGGTTATTAGGGGAAAAACCTCTAGTTTAGATGATGAGTGGGAAAATGGTTCGGCGAGGAGGGCATTGGGTGTGGCTTGGGAGTTGCTCAAAGGTGTAGCCCCTGGCATTCAGCAAATCAAAGTGGGTCCAAAAAATCTCTTGCCCACAAGTGGGCTGGGCGTTCTGGAGGAACTGTCCTCCTTGCAGACTCCAGTTTTTCCTCTTTTTGTCACACTTTGAGGAGGCTAGGCCAGTACAAACAATTCCTCTGTAAAATTCCCTGTGTGGCTAATTCAGTTTTGACTCTTAAACAAAATGGATTAGAATATTAACACAGTCAGTCCCCCAGGATTGGGAGAGAGAAATGAACGAGGAGGCGTCAAAAGTGAGCTACACCTTGGTCATACTGAACTGGAAAATAATTGTTTTGTAGGGGAGGGCATTACAACTCATAGAAATCTGCACCCAACATGGGTGCTGGCTTTTTGGGGATGCGGGGGGCAGGAATGAAGTTGGCTGGGGAATTCTGGGTTTCTTGTAGGTAACTTTTCCAAGTTGTAGGATGCATCTTAGAACCCTAACCCTGATTTTAGGAATGCTGTACACCCCTGGAAATAAAAGCATGTCAGAATTGCACCATGAAGGACTTGCTTTAAAGCTTCAATCTAACGGGTGTTAATTATGGACCCTCCTGGTTCTTATACCGTCCGCATCGGTCTGTGGTTGGCGTTGTCAGTCATATATTCTTCTCCATCCCCCCCCCCCACTGTTGCAGGCTGGCTCAAATATAAAGTGATTAATTGCAAAAGTTGCCAAGAGACCCTTCCTAGCTGCTTGACCCTCAGCCAATGCTTTGGTAGGTGGAGCTGAAAACCTCTAGTTATTGAGTGGTGGGCAGAGTGGTATGCATGACAACATGGGATAGAGAAGTGGATTTTGTTTTTTTGGGCGGGTGATCTGCATAACCAAATCCTTCTTGCTAGTTCTTCCATCTTACAAAGTGGAGGAAAACATGGCTTAAGCAACTCTTCAGAAGGAACTGCAGCCAAAGGGTGTTTACTGTTTAGTTCAACGAGAAGGCCCAACATCGGAGCCTTTTTGAAGGGCCAGGAGGAAGACTCACCTGCAGATGCTGGCAAGCTGTCTGGATAGCCTTATTGATCTCAATGGGATTTATTTTAATTTTTGTTGTTGTTGTTTAGTTGTTAAGTCATGTCTGACTCTTCGTGACCCCACGGACCAGAGCACGCCAGGCCCTCCTGTCTTCCACTGCCTCCCGGAGTTGGGTCAAATTCATGCTGGTAGCTTCCGTGACACTGTCCAACCATTTCGTCCTCTGTCGTCCTCTTCTCCTCTTGCCTTCACACTTTCCCAACATCAGGGTCTTTTCCCGGGAGTCTTCTCATGAGATGGCTAAAGTATTGGAGCCTCAGCTTCAGGATCTGTCCTTCCTGTTGTAATTAGCCTGCACTAAACATGTGTTTTCTGGCATGTCCAGCCGAGGGAAGCACATGCTTGTGTCAAGGAGAGTGTCACCATTTATAAAAACCAAATTAGCTTCCCCCCCAGCCCCCCCATACACACAGCCATTTCTACAAGAAATTATGGCAACAGGGCAAAATCTGCAGAGTCCCTCAGCATGTCAACCCCACATGACCACTCATTAGAAGGCTTCAAGTCTATCCTCCTCCAGCATGGCACCTTTCAGATGTGTTAAACTCCACGATTTCCACCATTCTAAAGCATGAGTACAATGGGGATGATGGAGGTTGTTGTAGGTCAAAAGATCTAGGTTGAGGGAGGCTGCCTCTGTGCATGTGCATGTTGTAGGCAAATTGATAGATAGAAAGATGCATTTAGAGTATGAGTATTCTTTATGTAGTCAGCATTAGCAGTAGGATATGTTATCTCAGAAATGTTCTCCACAGCCCTGTAAAATAAACCAGGGTGGAAAATCTGAGAAGGAATGGTTATTGTAAGGCTCTATTAGTGGCAGATAACATACATTAATTCTGGGTTTTCCTTGTTTGTAGCTTAGTTTCTTAACCAGACATGCGCAGATTTGTGGGTTTGGGCACTACATCTCACTGCATGGGAAATTCTGGGAGTTATGGTCTAAAAAAACAAATCTTCATATCTCTATCCTTTATGTTGTTGTTCAAGTAATGGCACAGAACACTACGGCCTTATGAATTGGTGAACTCTAAAAGGGCTCATCAACAACAGCCCTGCTTAGGTCTTGCTGATGCAAGGCCACGGTATTCTCAAAGGCTTTGATGGCCGGAATCCGATGGTTGTTGTAGGTTTTTCGGGCTGTTTGGCCATGTTCTGAAGGTTTTTCTTCCTAACATTTCGCCTGTCTCTCTGGCCGGCATCTTCAGAGGACAAGACAGAACTCAGTCTGTGCTCTGATGCAGTTTTTGGGATAGTTGAGCATTTATAGCTGTGGGATCAGCTTTGTCCTTTTCAGGAGACTCAAACAACACGAGAAACACTGCATACTAAAACAACCAGAAAATCTTCAGTAGCTGAACATGTCCTGAAACGAGCTGGACATGAAATTCTATTTCAAAACACAGAAGTACTGGACAACACCAGCAATCATTATGTTAGACTGCACAGGGAAGCCATTGATATCCACAAACACCAGCAGAGCTTCAACAAAAAGAAAGTCTACAACTCAACAAAGCCTGGCTCCCAGCACTGAAAAATACAGCCTGCAAATGATCAACAAACTCTACCCAGCCACAAGGACCAGTGATCACTGCACACAAAAGACCAGCTAACATCACGATCAATCACAGTGACAGATCATCTCTCCCCTTATCACAACAATACACCCACAACAAAAAACATGCTGATCACCATAATCACCCAATCTCCTGAAAAGGACAAAAAGCTGATCCCACAGCTATAAATGCTCAACTATCCCACAAACTGCACCAGAGCAAAGACAGAGTTCTGACTCCTGTCCTCTGAAGATGCTGACTACAGAGACTGGCAAAACTTTAAAAACTTTCAGAACATGGCCAATCAGCCCAAAAAACCTACAACAACCATCAAGGCCATGGCTTTCTTATTAAATTAAGTCAATCCATTTCTTTCTTGTTTTTCCTCTTAGTTTCCCAGTCACCTATCTCCTTGGGCTGTTCTGGGGCTAACCCTGAACCACTGGCTTTCACAGAGGTCTGCCTTCCCTACTGAGGACCACAATGGGGGCAGGGGGAAAGAGTTAAAGATAGAGAGGCTTGAGAAAGGAATTCCCAGTGATGAGCAGAAGAGGTGGGGTTTGCTAACAGAAACTTTCTGTGAATGTCAGATCTAGTCTCTCTCCATGCAGTTGACTCACAGGAACGTCTCTCCCTTCGCTATGGAAAACCCCTGAAGGATCCCAATATTGCCCGAACAGGAGTCGCCATTGTCCTGTGTATGGGTGGAGTGCTGTTCTTGGTGACAATAAGTGTGTGAGTATGATAACCCCCCCTCTACCTCAGATTCAGTCACAGGCCCCTCATGGCCTACTCAAGAGTAAGATCTGTTGTTGTTTTTTTAAGCAAAGCCACCAGAGGCAGCTGCAATTCACACTGTGGATTAGGGAGGGTTGGAGTGGAATTAACTCTTTCTTCTCCCCAGGATTGTCGTATATTGGAGAAACCGGCTATTTGAGTTTGTTTAGCAGAGATCTGGCCTCTCATCACCCATTAAGGGACATCGACTGGGGAAGAAAACCTCCGGATCGTAAAGTCCTGGAATTCAGTCCATGTACTCTCTCCATAACAACCTCCAAACTGGTGCTTCTTTTTCTGACCCACACAACAACATGTCTGTAACTCTGTTATCAGCCCCAAATGTTCCATAATAAACAAAACCCCTGACTGTTGTAAACCTTCTCTTTTCTCTGTGTCTCCGTGGCAAAGATCTGGATGTACGTAGCTGCAGCCCAGTTGCCACTAACCAAAGAAAGTAGAGATCTGGGCAATTAGCACATCTTGACCCACCCCCAGCCCCAGCACTACTAATTCATTAGGCATCATTTCCACCTAGGCAACCAAAACCACTCTTTTCTGCTTGAAACAAAAATGTTATTCGTTACCATACAAGTTCAATTTGTTCTAAGCAGCAGGAACTCCAGGAGGCATGGAAGAGGGGATGGGGTTGAAGAGTAGTCCTCCAGGGATAAATGTAGCTACTGAGCCATTACTTTCTCCAACATTTGCTTCTTGTGCTTGAAACACACCAAGTATCTGAAAAACGGGAAAGTGTGGTTAATGGAAGGAGGAGGGAAATCAATTCCTGGGCATTCTTAGAATGGGAGTGGGACTTAGTCTACATGGTAAAGAAGGTGGGGGGAATAGAACGAATTATGTCAGAGTCGAAGCTGGCAGCCTCTGCTGTCTGAGATCGCAGCTGCCAGTAAGTGCGCTTGGAGTGGGGCTGCGGAGGATGGCTAGGGCTGCCTCCCCATGCGGCCCAAACCAAATGTATGTGCGGCCAAGCCAAATTTTCATCTTATAATGTGGCCCAGGGAAGGTGAAAGGTTGGACACCCCTGGTCTACATGGTAAAGAAGACTGAGGTGGGGGGAATAGAACAAATTATGTCTCTCTAGTTTCAGGCAGGAGACACTTAAAAATATTCTCTCTCCTTTTGAAAACCCCCTGCAGCTCGAAAACTGATCCTTCAGGGAGAAAACCTCCTTGTCATGATAATATTCTTTCTGCCATGTCAGCCTTCTCTGACTATGGTCTTGTGAATCGTAATTGGATTTGTAGTTTGTTGGAAAGGAAGGCAACTGTGGGCCTGTAGGTCAAGAAAATCTAAAAGTCTTAGATAGTATGAGGAATGTTGAGGATATGCCAAAACCATCTACTGTACTCACATAAGCACAATTGAGGTCAGCACCACAGACTCGCAAACCAGGAACACATAAAGAACCACTTCGTTGTATTCTGCAAGCCGTCTGTCTTCCACTAGGGCACAACAGAAATAGCCATTGTAGCAGTGTGTGCTATGTATGCACGTGATTTATGCAAACCAGGTTCCCTGCCCTTGGAAAAATCCCTGTGGACACACTGATTGGTGAGGATACGAGCGCCAGAATCTCAAAATACCTCCTCTGCCTTCTGCCCATCATATGCCATACCTCCACAGAGCTCTCCATCAAAACATTGGGCAACAATGCGAAGGCAGGTCCAGCAATCTAAAACAGGGCCTTCAGTCACGGCTATGAAAGAAAGAACACCAGTGTTAGGAGCCAGAAGCTCTTGGGGATGATCTGATCCCGTAACAGGAAGATACAGGATCAGACTGAGGATGGTGAGATTCCAGGACTGTGGTGGTGGTGGGGATGAAATGGTTCTGATACTTACTGCAGTCCTCCGAACAAGCTGAAGGATGGGAAAGGAAAAAAAAATTAGCAAGAAGTAAAGGTGGAGCTTGGCAGTAGTTAGCAAATTGTGGCTGAAGTCCATAAGAAGCTAGAATTCATCCACTAAATCAATGGACTGTACAAAGGATTTGACTCATTGAATCCCCACTGGTTCAATGGGCCTGCTCTAGCTGCAACTTACTACTGGATTTCAACCAATTACTCAGTGTAACCATTTATTTTCCCAATAACTAAGGTACCAATGCATTGCACTAGAATTATATCTTAGTGAGGAGTAACTTATTTTGTGATGTAACAGTAACTTTTCAGTTAATTGAACGGTTATGATAGATGGGAATAGCTGCTCACAAAATCTAAGACAAGGAATATCACAAGATTCAAGGGCTAACTTGTGCTGCGTCTGACACTTTTCTTGAAAAAAAAATATTATAAATAACGTTCTGTAACTTTTCAGAGTTACTTTAAAATTATGACTGTATTGAGAACCTATTGCTTTTTATCCTGAACTGTAACTATAACTATGGTAATTGCTATTAAAAGAATTCCCGAGTTCTGACTTTCTGGTGATATGTTACTTAATTTAAAAAAAAATATAGGAAAGCAAGAAACCAAAATGGCAATGCCTACTATAATGGCAGTCTAGTTTTCTTTAAATATATATATTACAGTAAAGTGGAGATGTTCCTTCCTTCCTGGATTGACTCTTGACTCCCAGCACTTTCCAAGAATTTCCCAGTCAGAATTATGGGAGCTTTTACCCAAAGACAGACACCGATATTTCACTTACATGGGATAGGCCTTATCTTCCAGGTCAACTTCCTTTAAAAAAAATGAAACTTTTCCAGTGCTTCCTGGGGAATGAGAGCTGTAGTCTTAGTACCCATTAAGCTCTTTTAAGATGGCTCCTCCAAATAACTACACATACAAAGACCTAGGCCTGGTGTCTTTGTAACTGGTATTGGGACAGTTTCCTCTTTATACAGGAAGTAAGTCCAAGACAGCCTGGAAGTTAGGCCTGTTCCAGTTGAGTGAAATGTAGACATCTGTAGGTGTGTGTCTGTGGGCAGGGACTCTCAGAAATCTGCCTGGAAAGGTTTTGGAGAATTCTGGAAGTTAAAAGAGTCCACAAAAACATTTGACACATTCCTATATAAAGCAGGTTTCGCCTCAACACTCCCCTCACCCAAATCTCTTGGGAAGGTAAGGTTAGTCCTCTGAGTTACAGCAAGGGATGTCGGCAATTTTGTTTCCTGCTTTGCCCACCCTTTCCTTCAAGACTGGTACCGAGATCGGCGAATTTCTCCAGTGTCATCTGCATGCGTTTCCGGAGGCCGGCCCTGAGGTGATACATAGAGAGCTGCCAAAGGAAGACCCCTAGGTTGGGAGGAAGGGGAAAGAGGTTAATTCAACGTAGGAGGAGGGAAAAGAATTCCTGGCGGGGTGGATTGCCAGTTTAGACTGACAGAACTGGAAGACTTTGGATGACATGCTAGAGACAGAGTGGCCACCTTCCCCCCACCCCCACCCCAAGGCAGCCAGCAAAGAAAAACTCACCTTCTGCTTTAAAACAACCATTTTTGGTTGAACGTATGTTTAGGAATATGACTGTGCATGGAGTGAATGCTGGCGTTAAAGTACCGTAACTGTTTCGGTTTTGGTTGAATCTTTTAGCTCTGGGTGACCTGATGAAAAATACAGCGTCGATTGCAAGCTTGCTTTTCCACATATGAAGGCCTACCAGAATCATGTCTCTTGAACACTAACATGTTCTCGGCAAGGATCAATAATGTGCCTTCAGCCTTACATTAAACTGGTATATGTGAAGTACAGTATATGCAAATGTATATCCTCTTCATCATTCATAAACTAGCCTCCCTCCCTGACTTGATGGAGCCACCAGTTGTTCATGTTAGACCATGTGGGTACAAGTGAGTGGCTTAAACCTTCACAGTTTGGGATGGCTTTCCCCAACCTGGGGCCCTCTAGATGTGTTGGACTGCAACAACTCTCAGTCATCTGTGTTCACCATTATTAGGGATTTCTGGGATGTTATCTGTCTCACCAGGAGAGTGTTGGGTCAGGGACACCTGATTTAGGAGATTCACAAAGAAGTACGTAAGTGTGTTAGTTTGCCTCAGCATGTTGGCAAAAAAATAAAGGAGGAAAGAGTGAAACATTGTACTTTAAAGGCATTTCAATATGAATCAAAATTTACTCTAAGATGCTTTTTGCCCTTTTTTTTGTACTCCATATGTCTAAAGAAATGGATTTTGATCCATGGAAGCACCCACTGAAATAAAGCTGTCTTGAACATGCTACAATATTTTACTACCTCCTTCAATTTAGGAAAACATGCTAATATCTTTATATTTTTTTGAATTTCCGGAGTCAATAGATTATTTTGTGAAGGCTGGAGGTTTCCACTACCCAGTCAGAGCTGTATTCCCCACACCCAGTACGCCATTACACCTTTCCACGTGTGATTTTTCTTGATTTCTTGCAAGTAGCTGAGAATATCCGATTTGAGGGACATCACTATATGGACATCTGTAAGGAAACATTCACAGACGTATTTAGTCTGGAGTTGTGATACCCACCACCTTTCCCCTCCCGCTTTCCCTACTCCGCTGATGTGTCTCTGTTTGGCTCGCACCCAACACGCGCTCATATTTCTTTCGAAGGAAGGTGCCGTGCAGATCAGCCAGGGCCTGGACGTGCCGTTCTATGAGGGCGTCACGGTCAGGCAAGTCTTCTGGAAGAATGTCTTTCAGCAGCTTTCCCACAGAGTCCAAGAACCGGTGGTCACATTGGAAGCAACCAGCCACAGTTTGGAGGGGTAAGAACCACAAAGAGAAAGCCAAGAGGAAGGAGGGCACTGTTGCCATAGAGACTGCGGCACTATCAAGGCTGGAAGCCACAGCCAAGGCAACCACCTTTCTGTACAGTGGAATTGTGAGAACAATTCCATGACCCGGGAGACATTGCCAAGGAGAGTTTATAGACAAATGGGATTAGCATTGAGTCTCTGTGATGCCTGTGGTAGAACAGGAAGTGATGTAAAAAGCATAGGAGGAACCTGGAGAAGGACAAAGAGTTGATGGTCTGGACAGGAAGCAATGCCTGTAAAAAGCATAGGAGGAACCTGGAGAAGAACGTTAGAGCTGATGGTCTGGACAGGACGCAATGCTTTTGTTGTGGTTTCTATGGCTAAGGCATCACTGCTAGGATTCCTGGCCTGGGTGTTGCCTACGCAGCTGGCTGGCACATGTCTCCGGTGTTGGCGAGATGCCGCGGTGTACTTTGGCTACGATGTGGATCTGCTACTTGGTCAAGACTCAGAAGCCACAGACAAATTGGGGAAGCTTTTCCTGGGCAGAGCCGGGGACCGTGTCTCCAACAGCAGACAATTTTTGGGTACAGAATACAGTATAGGGAAGGGAAGCAACATTTCCTCTGATGTTAAGAAGCTTTTAAGAACTGCAAAATGGCTGTCTTTCTGAATCCCATATCTACTCCCATCCTCCTCCATGCCCTTTGCCTGACGCACACAGACATTTCCCAGTTGTGCAGAAAGGAATTGGGTTTGTAAGAATTAGAAATCAGTGGTGGGGAAACCTGAAATTAAAAACCTAAAATCTGAGTACCTTGAATAGTTTGTAAGGTTGAGGGCTCTGAGTCTTAAGAAAATCTGATATAGTTAAATATGTGTATTTCAGAAGCTGTAAAACAATACTGATAAGCCTGTGAGAGTTTAATTAATCAGAATACAGTATAGCTCTGTATTTTATTCATATTCAATTATATTCTTCTTGAGCATCTTGGCTCTCAAGAAGGAATCTACTACCACAGTAGGACTGCTGTATGCACGGGACTAGAACCTGTGGTTTCCCTTATCCGCTGACTGAAAAAAAATAAAATAAAAACTCAGAAATACATGTTTCGAAGGTGTATTACCAGAACAGGCCACTAGATTGAACCAGAGATGCAGTGGTCCCCAACCTTGGGCCTCCAGATGTTCTTGAACTACACTCCCAGAAGCCTACACCACCACCTCTTCTGGCCAGGATTTCTGGGAGTTGAAGTTCAAGAACATCTGGAGGGCCAAGGTTGAGGACCAGTGCTATACAGTATACAGGTGGCTTGTAGCCCGAGGTCTTCAAGGGAAGCTGCTTTGGGTGAAATGGAGAAACCGCATTTGTTGGAGGGGGTGTGCTGGGGGGGGGAGGCGGCACATACTGTACTGGTTTTGAGAAAGCCTCCTTTGTGAATAGAAGGGCAGGCAACCCAGTTCTTTGGCTAGACTGGGCCAGGGCTCCCTCTCTCAACCATGCGTGGACACCAAAGAAACTGGAAATAAGTACTTCACTTATCCGCTATTTCCGGCATCTGCCAGGGAGGAAGCTTGGGACTGCTGCGTTCCTAGTGTATCCAGATTTTTCACAGAACAATCTGGTCTAGTCTTAAAGTAGGCCCAGATTTAGTTGTATTTTAACTAAGTTGCCTTATGACTGGAACTTGGGGATAATGTCATTTATTTTGTGGCATAACCACAACATTTTAAAATTAGTGTTGTAGTTATGGGAGAGAAGGGATATCCCATGGTTCCAATATTGGCTCATCCTGCTCCCTTTTGCTCTCTTATGGGTGTTCAGATGACAATAATGTGGACAGAGTAAAGTGTTTATACTCCAAATCAGAAGCTTAAAACATCCAGATATTCAAAAGTAACTATTTTCTCGCTTTCTGGAAAAAAGAAATAAAAAATGTTGCTTTTTAAAAAAAATTTAAAATGTGGGAACTAACTACTTTTTTCCTAGGGCCTTGGAATCACAATGGGAACTAATTAAAAGTTACTCTCATAACTCAGAAATAAATGACTTTCCCTAATGTGGACTCTCCTCCTCCATGTGTCACACTACAAGTCCCACGGTCCTCAGCCAGCACAGAAGTCTGGAATAGATTAATCAGTCACCATATAAATACTGGTGTTTTCTGCAGAGTGAGGAGAAGACCGAGGAATTAAACCAAAGACCTCAACCTATCACAGTTTTGTCTGTCTGCCCTTATGTTTGCAGAACGAGAACACATGGAACGGGAAGCTGGGAATCTTTTTCTTCGCCTCGAAAAGATTATTCAGAATAGTGGGAAAGGTAAGAACTAACTTGTTCCTTTCCTTCTAGACTTCCTGATTGGGCAACCTAGGCTGAGACTGTTGTAATTTGTAGCCCAAAATTTTATCAAGAGTGGGAGCAGAATTTCACCCACATTAACCAATGGGTTTAAGAGCAATAGCTTTATTGGGAGTCTCAGAATTGGTTTATCATTCTCTCCTTCAGGTGGCACTCTAGCGCTATGCAGCTTAGCCATGCCTGACTGGTGGCAGAGCATGTAACTTCAACAACCGCTTGTGTTCAGGATGATCTCCATTGATTCCTCTCTGAGGAGGCACAGTGGGGGCTTGTTCCAATTCAGTCACCTATACCAGCTCAGTCTAAAATAATTGTACTTAGTCCACACTCTCTACTCGTATGTTTTACATTTACAAGGCAAGATTGTACACTTCGGGGATCTCTTAACAGCTAAGGAACAAGCAATAGGGATGTGCAAGTGTCGGATGACATGAAACTTGTTATTATTTGACTTCTATTTTTATTATTTTCACTGGCCATTTGTTATTGTTTATTTAACTTATTGACTGTTAACTACTCAGCATAGTGCATCACACTAATGGAGTGGTATATAAATTAATGAAATAAAATAAATATTTTACTTTGATTGTTCGTAATTACATGATCCCAACCTCAAACTCAGCACCTCAGGTGCTCATCGTGGCTTCTCGGTCTAGACCTGACTGGACTCTAACCATTCTCTCTAACACAGTCTGGGGTTTGGTCAGTTTTGACCAGTTTCTGTTGACCCACAGATCAAGAACGTCTTCTGAAAGAAGCAGAGCAGGAAAAGCTAAATTTTGTCAAGAAATTGGAAGAGGCCTCTCATGCCTTTCTGAAGGAAAGTAAGTGCCACACCCAAAACGAAGCCAGCTTCCCTCTCTTGGCCACGCGTACCTCACTCCAACAGTCAGCACAGGACTAGGGTTTGGAGCTGCCTCTCCCCCCTATATTTTGAGGTAATTTGTCCTCCTGCTCAGTCCATGAACAATCCCACTCCATAGCCTTGTTGACCGATCACGTAGGGAGGGGGAATCCCACTGAGTTCACCTGGGTAAAAACAGGATATATATGTAATTAATACATAATCAACAAAGCAGCGGAGAGGACCTGTCTTAATAAAGCCAGATTTACAGAAGGTAATTAGATATTTTTAAAATCACATTGAACTCTTCCCCCCCCCGCTGTTTGTGTGAGAGTTTAAGTCAGGTGTGCCATGCAGTTAAATGCACTTAACGGTCAACATCCTTTTGACCAGGAAACATAGCTTTTGAAGGGGATCCGAGAAGCAATGTTTGCATGTAGGCATGTTGATTAACCTTTTTGCTCTGTTTCCCTTGCTTCGATGCCCCATTGGAGACCTTCTTATACAACCTTTACATGCAACTACTGTAGGTTTGCCCTGCAAGGCCAGTGTAGAGATAAAACAAGGGTTTAAACTAGACGACCCTCCCCCTTAGGTGGCTCTAAACATGGTGGCAGTTCTTCCAGATTAAGTAACACTGATCTTGCATATGGGGTGTGTTTACATGGCCTGAAGATGCAGTAGGGTGGAATCTATGCAAAAGCTTATGTCAATAAAAGTTGTTAATCTTTTGAGTTCCAGACAACTCTTTTTGGTGCATAATCCCTTCGTAATAAAAATGATTTGCCATCAAGTCAATTCTGATTTGTGGTAACTGTTTTCACGGTTGTCTGGGTAGAGAACACTCAGAAGTGGTTTACTATTCCCTTCTTCTAGGGAACCCTGGGACTGTGCATCTTGCCCACGGCTACCCAGGCTGGCTCTACTTGCAGGATGCACAGTGGGAAACTGAACTTCAAACCTCTGACTCTGCAGGCAGATACCTAAACTACTGAGCTATCCAGCCAGCCACATAACCCCTTATAATTTACTTACTACTTTCATTTACAGTATATCCCAGTATTTAAAGGCAGCATGCACAGCATTCTTCCTCCCTACTTTTCCCTACAACAACCATATGAGGTAGAGCAGTCTGAGAGTATGCGTAACTCAAGGTTACTCAGCCAGTTTCATGGTTTGATTTGGGGATGAATTCCCAAGTCCTAGTCCAATGATAACCACTTGACAGTGGCCATCCCTCAGTTAGAAGATGCGTCAGCAGGGCTCCTAGAGAAAGTGGTCAACCCAACAATTAAATGCATAACAGAGATTCTGGAGAGTGGGACAAAATTGTTGGGTGAAGATACGAGAAAATAAGGGAGATATATGGGTTGCTCGGGTATGGGGGAAATGTAAATTGCTCATTCTTCTAACATTAATTCCTTTGTTTTTCCTCTTCTTTGCATTATGACCTGGCAGTTTGCAGTTTTTCCTGTGGTGAGTCCATGTGTCTAAACCAGAGGTGCATCTGTTGGACCATCTGTTGTCTTGTATACGCCCGTCTGCATTTAAACATCTAACTTCAGTTGCGCAGATGCATGTGTGTTAATACTGCCAGTTATAAATGGTGGGTGGGATGTGCTTCTTCCCCGTGACCCCAGGCTGGCCTCCCTCCCTTCCATGCGAGATTGAGATGAACAATACAGGGCTCAGGAGGGAACGTGGCCTATACCTCAGCACTTGTCATGAATTCCTTTAGGCAAATAACTGAGCCATAACTAAAATGCATTATGACTGTAATTTGAGAAAGAATATTTGTATCCTTTTTCCAGTGTAACTGGGTCTTGCAACAGAATTATGGCCCGTGTGTTATTGTACAACAGGACAGCAGTTTTAGTGTACAGATTTTTGTTTTAAGTAACTACTGTAAAATGCAGCTTTCTCAGAAATATCCATGAAAGCACACAATGTTAGTTCAACGTGTTTTTGTACTGTTTTTATTAACAGTAACCAATTGCTTCTATAAGCCTTAAAGACTACAAAAATAAGTTGCTTTTCAAAAGTAATTTCCAAAGCTTTGTTTACCCACAGAGACCTAATAAATATTTCCATACTGTTTTTGTGTGCCAGACTTTGAAAAAGAAAGAACAGCTCCCTAGCTGTGATGTTGAGGCAGAAAAGCAGAAATCTGAAGTCACTAAAAGATCAATGCTTGTTCAGGAGGTTTCTTTTTGTCTATTTGTGTGTTCTTGGTTTTGTTTTACTAGGTGTTTTTTAAAAAATCTAAGCATATTTTTTGAAAAAGAGCACCTGTAGCATCTATACTCCCATTCACCTGTAGTCCTATTCTTTCTTTACTTAAGCTCTTTCCACTGTCAGTGTGAGGAGTATGAAGTGATAAGTGTTATGGCCTTACCGTGGCTACAGAACAAACTGGGAGCGGTGATTCCAGATTAATCAAAGATATTAATCTCTGCAAATAAAAATAGTCTAGACATGCTCTTCTCTAGACACTCTCTGTGTTGCTATTTTAAATTACACTAGTGCTTTTAAAGCCAATTTGCAGGCTATTTTATTTAATTGAATTGAACTGGATCCAGACTTAATCATACTAACAGCAGACCCACTGAAATCAATAAGGCTTAAAATGTCAATGGGTTTATTCTAGGCAGGATGAAGTCTAGAGCCAACTCAGTGGGTTCGATTAAGTGTGGATCCAAACTGTTAGCTGGAGTCCTATCACACTTTTCTGTATACACAATAGCCTTATTGCTCCCAGTGTTACTGAAATAGGCTAGTTGTACAGGAGGATATAAAATACCAGCTTCTGCAAGTATAAACACCATAATTTCCAGTGGTGTGAGCTCCAGTTTGCACAACTAGAAGCTGGCAATTGTTTGAGAATGGTGGCGCATGTTGCTGTGGAACAGTTATGCTTTGCCACTATGTACTGTATAGGATTCTGACCATTAATACTTTAGATTCCAAATCACAGCTCCTGAGTCAAATGTGCAGCCCTCCCTGTGGTTTCTCACTTTACCCACTGTTCTTGAGGATCCCTATGCCAAACAACAGTCTCTGGGAAACCATGTCTTGTAGATTAATATGAGACACTTAATTTGTGATCTTATAACATTGCATGGTCATGGGCTACACTAACTTTCCATAACTAAAAGACCTCCCAGTTATTGCTTGCTAGAGATGACGGGAGCTACATTCTGTGACAAATGTAGACAAGTTGTGGTTTTCAAGCTTAGTTCAAAAATATGTTCAGATCTTGGTTTGTAAGTCATTAAAAATTAATTTGGCAGATTATGTTGGTCTAGCTATTGCAAAAAAACACATCGTTTTGCATTGCATCCAAACCACGTGTGATTTGTCACTTCTTAAAAATTTCCTAGTCTAACCTTTCTCTCTCGTCTTCACCACAGCCAAGTCCCGGTTCCGTCCCTATGAGGTGGTGCATTGCATCAACTGCCGGCTACTCAAAGCTCCCTGCAATGATCCTGTAGTATGTGCAGGTACCTTTCTGCTCTATCTGCTTCAAATATAGCATTGCTTCCACATGGTTGTGGTGTGCAAATAAAACAGAATAGGCCCATATACACTATTGTGCAATTCTTATAGGAATGCTGTGATACAAATGTAAACAAATACTAGCTGTCATCCTTTTGCAGAGACTGGGCAGATAACAGAAGAGATATGCTTCCAGTGTCGCCTTAGACCCACCACATAATTGGATTAAAATGAACACGTTTTACATCTCCATGACTGGAGAGTATAATTTGAGATCAACCTCAATCAAGGGCTATCTTAACGAGGCATTAAATGGTGGATTAGACCTGGATGATCTTGGGCTAGTTGCCGGTTACATCTCCTTGCCCAACCTAACCTGTTTCACAAACTTGTTTTGAGGATACAAATGGGAACAGAGGAAAGGAATGCACAACTATGTATGACTCGTTAGGGAAAATGTAGGATAAAAATGTAAAGAAATAAATATTCACCTCTCTCCATCCCTACCAGTGTTATTTTGTTCTGGTTCCCTCAGAGATGGCAGCTGATTTCACCCTTTTCAGTTTATTTCTCCCAAGGAAAGAGTGAACTTCTAGAGAATGAACTCAATGGCCTTATAGGCCCCTTCCAACTTTGATTCTGTAAGAGCGCTTAGTCATTGCACAGCAATCAAATGCATGCTGTGTAAGCTCCTCATATTTGCAAATCCTTGAAACTTCTGACCAGCTGTGAGGTGCTTTCTTGTTGTTAACCTAATTTTAGAAACACGAGACTACAGCTGGACATGTATTTCATGGGATCACCCTCCTAGTTACTATCAGAACTCTATTGCGATAATTATTTTGTGTCCTTCCTTCTGAAAAAAATTTAAACAGGGCCCAATGTTCTCACGGGAGTGTCGGTAACATTTCTGATCTTGCTGGGTATCGGAGGCATATGGTGGTAAGTTGAGAGATTCTGTTTCGGGATGGGTGGGACGGAAGGTGGAGTGCCTTTCACAAACTGGTGCTTTCCAGATTTGCTAGACTAAAGTTCCCATCATCTCTAGCAAACAAGAAATGGGAGGGTATTTGGTTGTGGAAAGTTGGTGTAGAGAGACCATGAGGATGCAACACTGCAGGATCTCAGGAGTGATAACTTCCAGGACTTTAGTATATTACCTGTAGGAATGGTGTTTGGTTACAGAGACTCCCCATGGAAACCCAGGTCTCATATGAACTTGTAAGGAAAGTCATTCTCAGCCCCAGTTGCCCTCTCTACAAATGGGAGAGAAAAACCACTAACCCATTTTTATAGAGTGTGGCAAGGATGATGGCAACATTATGTGTAGAAACCATTGTGAACATGTGAAGGCACTATCTCTCTCTCCCCCCCCCGCCCCCGCCCCCGCCCCATTACATTTCGGTTGTTGTTTGAGATGATGGCTCTGGAAGGCAGCAGCTATGTTGCATCGCTATGCAAGACTGCACTCACTGTTCCTCTCTGGCTGCAGGTATCGCCGTCGAAAGAAAAAAGCAGGAAAAGAAGACAAGTCTGAAGATGATGAAGAGAAAGAGAGTTCAAGTAGTTCAGAGGGCTCGGAGAGCTCTGAGGAGTCAGAAGAAGCTGTCTCAAGCCCCTCACCAGCCAGGAAGCCAAGTACTCCACTGACGAATAACCCGCCAACAGTGAATATCCCAAGCCCCCCACCTTTTGACTTCCCAAGCCCCCCACCATTCAGTGATGCCGGATATTAAATCATTTACAGTGGTTACTGGCTTCCATCATTTCTGTGTCTACAGGATGTCTCTTAAGGCAACCAGTGATCCACGCAGCTCTCGAGGACTGTGTCATTTGGCCACTGTGCTTTAATAACAGCAGGGATTATAGACCCGACCAGACCAAAAGTAGTGCCACCACAGGAGAAGTTCAATTTGTAAAAAGACATCACAGATGTTTGCATGTGGGCTGGTCAACATGTCGCTCTGCTGATGTCTCTGATTGCAAGTCCCATCATCCTTCAATATAGGCTATTGGGAGTTGCAGTTCAACACCTGAAGGGCCACAGGTTGCCCATCCCTTCTCTAAACAAAAGAACAGCAACCTACCTCTTTCCCTCCAGTGAGATCAACTCATCCCTTCTCCCCTGAAAGCAAACCACCCGGGAGGTGCCCAAGCCATTGGGTGCCAGAGAATTTCCATTTATTTCAATTCATTTAATAGCATTTTCCTGATGCATACAGGTTGGGGATTGGAAAGGGAGAGACAAGAGCCAGCAGGGAGGGTCACACACAGCCCAAATCATTCTCCTCCACCCCTAAAACAATGACACAATGATTCTTCAAATATACCGGTGTGTGGAGAAAAATACCCCCCTCCCCTGGCGTGATTGACTTTGGGGGGCAGGGGGATGGAGGAAACACAACATTAAGAAATCATTATTGGGGCGGGGAATCAAGGGGGAGCGAGAAGAGATGATGGATTTTGCAGATTGTCCTGGGTGCAAACGAGCACCCCCTGTAGCATACAACAGGCACTGACAACCACAGCAGCAACACATACGCACAGGTGCACACACGCACACACAAACACACACACAGCCTTTGACCCTCCCCTGCCCCACAAGCTGCTGCTGCTGCTGCTGAAGGGGTAAAAGCAGCTCCATTCCCCCCCCCCACTCAAGCCCCTCCCTTTTTAAGCCAGTCTTGAGAAGAAAGTGAGGCTTCTCTGCCTTGTGCTTCTTCAAGGAGGGCAGTCGGGGCTTTCCCTGTCGCATCAAATAGAGCAGTCCTTCTGGGCAGTTTCAGAGCACAGGAGATGTAGAGGAGGAGGTTGCAATGTTGGGGGGCGGGAAAAGCAGCTCATGATGTGTGGGAAGTTGACGGCATGGACTGTGTGGGATCACCACCTAGGTGAAGAGTGCTCCTTGGTGTCTCTGCAGAGATGACTCGTTTCCCCCTTTTTCAAGCAGTGCACACTGAAGGTGAGAAACAGTGAGGTGGGAAGACAACCTGTACACTTCCTTTTTCTCGGGGTCTCTGCCTTCTCTACTTGCCCCATGAGAGTCCTTTAGCCTGGCCTGTCCAGAGTTCAGAGAAGGGAGAGCTTTAGGGTCTCCGGTCTTCTGAAATCCACAAACATGTTGGCTCTTTCCACCCCTCTGAGAAGCAGGCTGGGCACTCCAAACCCTGCAACAAGTTTTCTCCTCCACCAAGTTCTGCCTTTTGAGACATTTCAAGAACCACAGAGCATGGATCCACTGGAGCGCTCCAGTCCCGACCTTCACAACTTGGCTGCATCGTCTCTTGCTTCAAAGCTTCCCCCCTGCCACAGGTGTGATGACACACTAACGGGATTCCAGGCTGCTCGCAAAGAGCGGTTCCTCCTCGGATCATCACATTGCAGGCAGCAGATTGCTGGGCGCACCCCTCTCCCACCCCCCCACCCCCCTATAGAACGGCCTAGTTCCTCTTTTTTTAAATACCAGCTTTGGTCTTTGACCATAGATTGGTGGTATCCTCCTTGGCCTGAAGGATGGAAGAGTCCATGATTCCCAGTGTCTCAGCTGTTCCAAATGTAGTGATGGGCTACATCAGTGTCTACCCAACCCTATTTCAATCCCCCACCTCCCAAAGTAAAAAAAAAAAAAGCTTGGTCCTGGCTATGAGAAGATAGGTGGATGGAGAAAGGTAACTAATATCTGGAAGGGAATGGGCAGGGAATTGGGGTGTGTGTCATAATTTAAAGGTCTGTGTCCCCCACCCCACCCTTCCCCACCCCACAAGTGAACACTGCATGGAAGGGCCTAGAGGCAAGACTTTGGCCACTTCTTTATCAGATCCCCTTCCATAGGAGTTGGAGTGTGAATTATGCACCATAAGAATGGATGAGGCCAAAAAACATTCCGAATCAGCCATTCCTTCCAAAATGGGACAACTATTGGGATAAATTTGAGAGAGGGTGACAAAAGTTTTTAAAGAACACTCTGCCCCCCCCTCCCCACACCCCTTGTTTTGCTTCTCAGGTCTCCCCTCTCAAGCTTCACTCTGATGAGCAAAAGTGAGCAAGGGTGGCGGCCTGCTTCAGTGGCCAAAATGGAACCTCCCAGCTAGCCTGGAGAACCACACAAGAGAAGGGAACCTCTTCATGTCTCGCCCACCCCAAAACTAAAAGGGGGAAAGGCTCTCCTACTCCCAACATGGGGGTAGTAGAACCTGCTATAAAGGACTTAAGTCTCTCCCCCTTCCATCCATCCCCCTGCAACCTAAACCCAGCTGCCCTGATTTTTGAGCAGAATCTTAGGGGGCCCCACTGCAGATTGGGAATATGGGGGTGGTGAAGAGAATGGTGTAGAGGGTCGTTGCCACAGGGATAAAAGTTTCCCACCAGATTATAGCAAGAAAGGGTTGGTGCTTCCCATCGTGGAAGCGGAGCTGCTGGGAACCACACCGGCTGGACCCAGACTCTGAGGGGGGAGACCCATGGCTGGGAGCCCCATGGGCGGAACGACCCCTAAAGGCTGTACCCCCACAATTGGGGAAACAGTCGCTAAGGGCATTCCAGGGGCCATAGGGGAGACGGAGACCATCGGGGGTGCGGCGGGGAAGGCAGCAGCGGGGGCTGGCTGGGAGAGAGGAAGGACTGGACTGACACGGAGTTGGTTGAGTGAAAGTGGATTGGCGGCCGTTGCCTGGAATGGGTTTGTGGTCGAGGCAGATGGGGTGGAGGCTGCAGCTGAACCTGCAAAGGGGCAGAGATAGAGAGAATAAAAAAACAAGTGAGAGAGCAAGAGACTAAGATCAAGAAACAGGCTAATGAACCCAAGGATCCTGTGTCAAATGCTTGCTATTCCCCAAGTCTAGGCAAGTTCCCTTTTTGGACTACAAATTCCACCATGGCCAAAGAGCTGCAGTAAAAAAAGAAAAGGAAAGGGAAAAAAAGAGAGAGAACTTCTAACCCCATCAGAGTCTGATTCCTAGGCATCACCCTGATCAAATCATCTGAGGGGGTTCCTCCTATCAACTCCATTATAAAGTGCCAGAGTCTGTCGGATGAAGAGTTTAGAAGCAAATATGAATAATTTCATTTCAGTCTGACAAAAAAAAGGCCTAGGATAAGGCAGGATGTCCTACATGTGCACCAGGTTTTATTTCCAGTGACAGTGGGCAGGCACAGATCTTTTCAACACAAGACTCCCATCTTAGCTTGTTCCCAAAGATTCTTTTGGCACAATCTCTTCATGGTGGTTTGCTTCTGCTATTGTTGAGCAGACATCAATCAGAAACCCTTTTCCAATCCACCTTCTTCTGCCTAGTCATCGATTGCACTATAGATGTTCCTTATCCACTGTCCATTTCCTAGAGAATCTGGGAAATCTGCAAGCCCGCCACCTCAAAGGAAGCCAGGAGTCCTACTTTCTCGTCTCCTATGCTAGGGACCCCCATACACTGTGTATGTGCTGTGAAGCCAGATCATGCCTTTTTGTGGTTTAAAGATAACCTTTTAGATCTCAGGGCTGTGAGATGATAGAGGAAAAGATTACTAGTAGGGGGGAAGGGGACTTCCTTGCCTTGCATGGCTTGGCTAGTCAGAGTTAGTTTTGCAGGATCAGGGAGAATAAGTGGCATAAACCTTCTACAATAAGCTATATTTTCTCACTTCAGCAGGCAGATTAGGTGGAATGCATAGTTTAATATTATTTCTGTAATCCACTCGTAGCAACCCTGCCAAGGCTACTCCAAAACAGCAATACCCAGAGATGAGGAATGGGAGACCTAACATTGTTTTAGATGTTGCTGGCCTGCACCTACCTCCCATCACCCTCAGCCAACATTGCTAGCAATAAGCACCCAGAGGGGTGCATAATCCCCACTGTAGTCACAGACAAACAAAATTTTAAAAAAGGTGGACACCAGCTTTGTATCCATGCTATTATTGGAGTGTCCTAGTAAACCTATCTCATCCTGTTATCTGAAGTTGAAATGCCTAGTCATGAAGAAACAGGAACTCTCTAGGCTACAAATCACCCTGGCCACAGGGTCCAGCCATCAGCATGCTTACCAGATGGCAGGAAGGGATTGGAGGCCTTTGTGCTGCTTGAGAGGCCAGTAGGCTTGCTGACCAATGAGTCCAGATCGACCAGGGCAGCGTTGGGACCCAGGAAGGACTCTGGGGTCTTGCGTGTTGGCTTGGAGGTCTCAGGCAGTGACCCACTCATGGCGGCCATGTCAAAAGCGTTGGGGCTGTCAGTGCCACCACTGGTCCGGGAAACAGGCACCTCACCGGCTAAGAGTGACAGCTCACCTGGAGATGGAGACGGAAAGGGAGAATCGTAAGAGAAAGGATAGGAAGGACCCACACAAGCAGACAATGGAAAGGAGAAATACAAGCATGGCTTAGAGAAAAAAATTGGGTGGCTGGAGAGCTACAGCTACCAGAAAACACCAACCCACTGGCCAGGGGGATTCTGGGAGTTGTAGTGAAAAACAACCCTTCTTCTCCAAATGTATGTCATGCAAGTCACCAAAATAAAAAAAATCACAAATAGTCACAAATAAAAGAAAATCTGCCTCACTTGTTGTTTGCATGCAAAATCTCAAGCAAGTCCCAAGATTTTTAAAAACAACAACACACAATATGATTCCAACGGGGGTGGGGTCGGAACTCTCTTCGTAATCCATGCAGAGACAAAATTGGCCCTTGGAGTACAAACTCAGAATGAGATTTGATTGCAAAGACGATGGTGGCGACAACCAAAACGGCAGCATCCGGGGAGTCTTCCGTGCCTGAAGGTGTCACCTGTCTCATCTGAAGGAATCACGAACCAAAGACTTGGATCAACAAGTGCCTCTCTGTGCGTCAGAGAGTTACCAAATAGCAGGCAAGGGGAGTGCAGCCATGCAGGAGAAAGAAGGGAGCACGGAGGCAAGAGAGACAGAGGAGCCATGCAGGAAGCAGGGCTCACCTGTGCTGCTCCCAGATTTGGGCAGTGCTGGGCGCAGGCTGTCGAAATCCGAGAATTCGTCCCCGTCCCCGGGGCCTCCAAACTGCTCAAAGCCTCCACCAGCTGGAGGGAGGAGGGGCAAGGTAAAGGGGAGGAGAGGAGGTGGCAGGATTAACAGGGCATCCACATCATGCTTTGCTCTGATTCTGACGCAGGAGTCCTTTTCCACACATAGGATGATTCCCCCTACAGCAGTGGCTCCTACCTTTGGGCCCCCAGATGTTCTTGAACTAAAACTTGCAGAAACCTGCACCACTAGCTCTGCTGGCTAGGATTTCTGGGAACTGTAGTCCATGAACATCTAAGGACCAAAGGTTGGGAAGCACCGCATAGTCAGAGAATGGAAACATTTGGAAGAACAAGTCCCATGCTAACTATGGAGGTTTTGTAGTCCAAAGCAGTAACTTTTCCAAGCTCAGGTACATACCTAGGAATCCTGATTCCCAGCCTATTCGACCTTAGCCTCCCAATCACCCCCATTTCTCTCTCATTCCCCCGATTCATAAGCCCCATCCTTTTCTTCTCTCTCACCTGCCGTGCCGTTGGTGCTAGGTTTTGAAGGAGAACCGCCCCACGGATCTGAAAAAGTTGAGGCTGGAGCCCAGGGATCTGGTGCCGTTTTCCCTTGGGGTGCTGGAGCTGGACCAGAGGACCATGGGTCTGTGGATGGTGCTGCTGTGGGCCCAGTAGAACCCCCGCCTGGGAGGAAAAGTAACACACAGGACAGCAACACTTAATTAATGTTGTATCTTTAACCTGTGTTTTAAACTGTGCCTTTAAATCAATTCTCTTTTAGTTCTTGATCTTGTTTTCATTTTAATTGGTGCTTGAAAACATTGCCTTTTTGGACTACAACTCCTAGCATCCTTGCCTGAGCGAATTCTGGGAGTTGTAGTACAAAAAGTAACTTCCTCGAGCTCTGGTTTTTATTCCATTTTCAGTTTAACCTTACTGTAAGCTACCTTGTATTGGGAAGCACAGTGGCAGATACATCCAATAAACACAAACAAATGAACACTTGGTATGCTCTAGCATTGAGCTATGATAGTCTCCTCCATCAAGGAAATATAACTATTGTCCAACCATTGATTGCTTACTAGCTAAAAACAAGGGGAACAGAGCCTTGATGAATTCGCTCTATGGGGACGTTTTTTCGATCGCTAATGCGATCGCAGAGCGACGGCCCCAATGGGCGAAAATCGCAGAGCGAAGGGCGGTAAGCGGTTCGCTTACCGACCTTCGCTTTGCGACCCGCCGATCAGCTGTTCCGCAGCTACAATATGGCTGCCGGAAGCCCCAAAATGGCCACGCGCAGCGTTTTCACGCCCTCGTAAAGCAAGGGGAGGGCGCGAAAATGGCTGCCGGCCATAGGGAAGCATCGCTGAACAGTGAGTATTCAGCCCAATTGGAACGCATTAAACCATGTTTAATGCGTTCCAATGGCTTTTCCTGCCCCGTTCAATGATGCTTTCACACAGCGAGGGTTAATCCGGAATGGATTAACCTCGTTGTGCGAGGCACCACTGTATTGTCCAACCATTAATTGCTTACTAGCTAAAAACAAGGGGGACGGAGTCCTGCGTTCAAAGATGACATTTTGGGTCTTGATTTAAATTTACATCCTGCCTACTTGGTCAGTCACTCACAGGTCTTCATCCACTAGGAGGAAGAGGCATCTATCTCTAACCTGCCACACAGGTGAGAAATACACGGTACTCCACCTATTGAGTAACATTGCCAAGAGCTTCAAAAAGTAACTTTTGGACAATAGTTCCTAGAATTCCTTAGTCTACATGTTTATGCGGAGGGTAAATGTGAGTGCTAACATTCAACAGGTAATGTTTCTCTGCTCTGCCACTGTCAGTGCTGACAGGGGTTGATAGGAACATCCTCTGGAAGGGAATATATCCGCCAAGGTTTCTTCTCCTTCCTGCCCTGGAGGACAGAAAGGTGAGCAAAGGATGATGATTACTGAATCCGAATATATCCGCCAAGGTTTCTTCTCCTTCTTACCCTGGAGGACAGAAAGGTGAGCGAAGGAGGATGATCACTGATCATACCACCCACACTACCCAAAGGTCTCTGGGCAGATATGTGTACCGCGTTAAAAAAAATAAATCAGTAACGTTGTGAAGACTTCTTAATGAATCCTGTTCTGTTCAAAAATTGTTCTTACCTTCATGTTTCCATGGGTCAGTGCTTGGAGCTGAAGTGCCTCCCCATGGATCTGGGGGGGCTGCAGGAGGTGCTGTGGTGCTGCCCCAGGGATCTCCTGTGGAAGCCACTCCAGTAGTGCCTGGTCCCCAGGGGTCAGTGGGAGCTGCGGATACAACTGGGGCAGGGCCACCCCAAGGATTGGCAGGAGCAGGAGAAGTGCCCCAAGGGTCAGAGGCTGCTGGGGCAGTGAAGACGTCAGCAAGATCCATCAGGGATGACTGCAATGAGGAGGGTTGTCAAGATGTGAGAATTTGTGTGTAAAGGGTGTTAAAAAAGGTACGTGGGGTATAGAACAAGTAGCCCTGAAAATGAAAATGCTTTTAGAATTAAGGCTTGAACAATAGTATGCTATAGTCACTGTAGAACAATTAGCAGGCTAAGGCTTGAACAATAGTATGCTATAGTCATTGCAAAACAATTAGCAGGCTGGTTGTTGTGGGTTTTTTGGGGTTCTTTGGCAGTGTTCTGAAGGTTGTTCTTCCTAACGTTTCACCAGTATCTATGGCCGGCATTTTCAGAGGACACTTCTTGGAGAAAAGGCAGGATACAAAATGCCAGAACTCAACCAAAGATCAAGCAAATGTCAAAAATTACACAATCAATCAAGGAGCCTTGCCTTCCCCCTTGGCTTTGTTGCCTGTTTTGAACAAATGATATTGCCCACCTCTCCTTTAGGATTAAACCTGCCAAGACAGGTGGGCTTTCTCACCTCTCCTTTAGGATTAAACCTGCCAAGATAGGTGCGCTTTCTCCTTTTTTTAAATTAAATTTAATTTATTTATTTATACTTTTCACAGGGATTAAAACTCCCAGTTGGCTAGTTGGGGATTTAAGGAATTGTAATCCAGAAGAAGGGAATGGTCAACCACTTTTGAGTATTTTCTACTTAGAAAAAACTGGAAAGGGTTTCTGGAAGTCAGAATTGTTTTCTCAGCACACATTATTATTATTAATCCATAAATAACTTTCTAAGTTCTTTTCCTCAAAAGATAGGTAGGGATCACAGAACAGGTACTTGGATATATAGCAAAAGCCCAGAGTCCACTTGGTTCACTAAGTCTAACCCCAAAGTTTGCAGATGTCAGCCTTTTCAGATCTTTTCCTTCTTCTTCCTTGTTTTAGATTTCCAAAATCCCAGGTCAACTTTCTAACCACTATATCAAACTGACCACCATAATCCATCATCGTACACAAGAGCCTCTCCCTTCAGCCCTTGCGGCTGGTAGCCTACCATTCAAAGTCATCAGCCCCACTACTGTATACATTTGGCCCTGCCTCACCTCCTCCTTGGCAGGCACGGTCTCCTTTTTGCTCTCCTCAATGGCCATCTGGAGCCGTAGGTCATCTCCGCGTCGGATCCGCTCCTCCTGAAAGAAGTTTTTGGGAGGGACAGAGGGACATCAACAATGGACAGAGGATGAACGCAGGCAGCTAGCTACTCACCTTCAGCAGAAGGAGGCAAAGAAGAGATGCTTGTGGCAAAGCAGCTGGGCCGTGTGAAACTTTGCCTTCAGGACGATGTCTGATGGAGCCAAGAATGAGCCAAGTGCTGCCTTACTCCTCTCCAAAAAACCAGTCCCTACTGCTTCTAAAGCCCTTCCTCTGCATAACTAACTCTTCATCACGTCTTCCTCCAAATGCAAAAACCCAAATGTACTTTCTCTACGTTCACTCCACACACCCCACTGTCTAAATATCTTGATCCCAAGCCCCCGTATTATCCTCTGGGGGCAAATTTGTGGAGTGGAGAAGCAAATTTTCTTCCCCATCATCCCTGGAGAGGAAGCAACAGGCCTAGAAATACTTTTTTTTTAAAGAAAGGAAGTAAAAACTGAAGTGAAAGACATCCTGCTCTGATTTTTGGAAGACGGAGGGGATTGAAAGGGGATGTCAACGCAAAAACTGCCCTTCCTGGAAGACTTCAGGAGAGAGGGGGAAAATACTTATTCAAAACATACAGATATTTTCCGTGGCCACAAGGGAGAGGTATCTGAAAATCTGAGGGTTCCAACTTTATCCATCCCTATCTTAGTGTCTTTATAAATCTCAGGTCTCTTTTCTTTACTACCCCCTTCCACACCCATCACTCACCTCCTGAATCTAGTCAACTCCACTCAAATAAATAATACCAAGAGACTTTTCCCCCATACCCTGCCACCTCACCGTCGGTCCTTATCATCATCAGATTAATTCTCCCGCCATAAAGGAATCCCAACCCTTTGCCTCATGTTGTATCCACTGTGTTCACTCCATGTTTCCCACCCTCTACTGCTCTCCCAGGTTCTTCCATCTCTTCCTTTGATGAGTCACCTCAAATCTTCTGAAGATGCACACAAAATGCCTCAGCAGGCGCCGGTTTATGGTCACAGCAAAGGTCTGAAGACAGGGACTGACCATCCTACTTCAAGGCCTCCCTTGAGGGAAGGCATCTTAGGAAAGCTCAATTCTACAGTGGGCAATTACAAGAGAGGTCTAAAACAAGAGAACATGGAGACCTGGTACCGCCACCGCTGGATCATTCTGCTCAGGACGGGATGTGGAGAAACAGAGAAGGCTGAGTTAGTTTGAAAAAAGTGTAAGGAAGGGCCTGCTTGAGGAAAAGAGGTTTAGTTGATTATTTCAGGGAGGAAGAGCTGCTGTGAGGGGGAAGAGGATGGGCGCACGGGCAGAGTCTAACCTTGTCGTGTTCCTCTTTGCTCAAGCTAAGGGCTAGCTGGAGCTGTAGGTCTTCATCGGCGGCGGCTGCAGGGGGCTGGGGGGGAAAAACACAACATAAGAGGCATGGAATGAAGCTCGAGGCAAGGGAGGAAGGGAGGGAGGGAGGGTGAAAGGGAAGGAGAGGAAAGATGGATGGACTGTAGATACCTGCAATTCGCACAACTGCTGCCACCCTAGGCTGCAAGGGACCATTCAGCATATCTGCCTGACCAGCACTGCAGCTGCCCAGACTCACAAGCCATTATATTTGTCTCAGGACGGGCTAAAACTTTTCTTGATGTACCTGAGAGTCACCTTAAGAGCTTGGAAAAGTTACTAGAGATGGGCACGAACTGGTTCGTCCCAGTTCATAAAGGCAGAAGCTCCCCCGCCTCCTCAGGCAGTCACTCACTCATTAGGCTTTTTCCGGCTCCCCATACCTGAGAGTCACCTTAAGAGCTTGGAAAGTTACTAGAGATGGGCATTAACTGGTTCGCCCCAGTTCATAAAGGCAGCAGCTCCCCCGCCTCCTCAGGCAATCAGTCACTCACTAGGCTTTTTCTGGCTCCCCAGCTCATCTCCCGGTCACAAGCAAGAGCACAGACTTCTCTGTCCCACCTTTTTGTCTGAGTGGGAGATCAGCCAAGAGGGCAGGGCAGAGAAGCCTGAGCTGTTGCCAGGACTGGAAGATCAGTCGAGATGGTGCAGGAAGCTAGCACGCTGGTTCTGGTGAGTGGTTGGTTGAGGTAGGGGAGAAGAGCAGCAGCGCTTGTCTTGCTGCCTTTACAAACTGGGACAAACTGGTTCATGCTCATCTCTAAAAGTTACCCTTTTTGGACTACCATCCCCAGAAACCCCCAGTTAACATGGCCGCTGGCCTTGCTGGCTCAGGGGGAAGATTTTTCAATTTGGAGTTCAAAAACAGAATTTATTTCCACCCGATGCCTTCTCTTCCTGGGCCATCTTGCCCTGAGAACACAAGCTGCCTGGTCGTCACACACAAGCAAACTCCAAGCTGCTTTCCCATGAATAAGAAAGAACTGAACTTTAAAAGTAAGAGGGGTTGATTGCGGTACAGCAGAGCAGGAGAACTTCAATTCCACTGCACCTCCTGGAAACCCCAGCTAGCCATGCAAGTTGGTGGATTGTCAGAGTTGTAGTCCAAATATATATACATATGTTAATAAAGGCACTTTGCCAGGCTTCGAAAGCATGTGCAACTTGTGACTGTTCTGAAGTTGCAATGCTGCAAACTCCTACTAGCCATCAGCACTGGCTCTGATGGGCAGTCAGGGCTGATGAGAGTTGTGGTCCAAAGTACCAGGACAGCCACACATGCCCCTGCTCCCCAAATGTATAAGAGCAAATTGCATGAATTTGTGTGAGGACTAGCTCAGAATTCTGCTGCACTGATTATCCATTACAAATCCAGTCAAACTTTAGATACGATCAAAAACCAGGATGGGATACAACAGCCAAAGGGCGAGATTTGGAGGCAAGGAAGCCAGATTCAAATAATTTCTCAGGCATGAAACTTTTGCAGAGGCTTTGGCAGAGGAAGCAGAGAAAATGAGCAGCCTGCTAAACTGCAGAGAAGCCTCATCATCTCTGGCAAAGAAATGCAGTCCTTTGCCTTGCTTTTGCCAATACTAGCCGGCTAGTTGTTTTTTAAAAAATGTAGGTTAAGAAACCAGACACATATTCAAAAGGCTGGATCAGAGTTTAGAACAGTGACTTTTTGGACTACATCTTCCTGTATGCCTCAACAGGAGATTCTAGGTGTTGGCATAGAAAAAGGTAATTTTTCCAAGCTTTGGAAAAATGTCACCACAAGATGGCGCAGGGAAGGAGAGAAAACTAACTTGCCCCAAATCTGGATATTATGTAGAGCAGAAATCTGGAACCTTTTCCCTAATAGTAAAGATTTTTAAAAAACTAGCTTCGTTTCCCAAGTTTCACAGAATCTTTGCATGGATCTTAACCTCTTTGCCTTCAGATTTAGAAACAACAGGGTGGAGTAGAAGGAAAATGTTGCATGAAGGAAAAGAAGGCAAAATGGAAACAAGGAGTCAAAAAATAAGTAAGTGCTGAACACAACTGACAACGGGGTGGGATGGGAATGAAAGGAAATAAATATAGCCATCCCCCTTGGGAGGAGTCACAGAGGTAAAATAGTAGAAAAGAGGTTGCAAAACAGCACTGGGAAGCAGGGTTCAAGGATCTGACGAACTGCAGCATCATGAGTAGTGTGCAAAGGTCTGGGAGCAGCCAACGCTGTGGCATTGCCTGATACTCAATGGCCGTAGAATTGATCAATGCCCGGATGAGGGAAAGCTCCTTTCCATCCTAAAGGAAAAGCATGTGTATGTGTCTAAAAACCCCTATGATAATTAATATTTGAATGTGGGGCTGCTGAGAACCCAAGTGCCAGGTTCGATAGCTCAAAGTGACCAAAAAAAGCTGGGCTATTCCACTGAAGCAGGAAGGCGAACTTGAAGAAGAGGGTCATTGCTAAATCCTGGATCACTATAGAAGTGATTTTGTGGATAGTGGTACTGGGGATTGCACAACCTCCAACAGTGAAAAGGATGGGCAAAACTTGAATCTTAGAGGAGAGAAGATCTATTCATGGAGAAGTGTTCTTAATCCCTATCCCAGCCAGTGCTGGTGGGCAAGAAGGACCTCATCGCCGCATGAGTCTCACTGTGAAAATCTGGATAAAAAATCTCAATAGAAAAAGCCAGTTCATATTGAGTAAAGTTTAAGACACATCCACAGTCCTCCCTCCCCTAATCCTGTTTCTCCCAAACTGTAAGAAGGCTTAAGCAGAGAAGCCTGAACCCTGCTGCCTACACACACACAAACAAACAAACACACATACAACCACTCTAAAATTTTAACATGACAACTTCAGGTTGCAATGCAGGACTAAGACACCAGCTAACACAGTGACCAGTTGCCCATCACTCTTTGCTCCCAAGATGCCTGCAGGGCATTGGTGACTTAGTTACTTATTCCAGTGGTTCTCAAACTTGAGTCTGCAGATGTTCTTGGACCACAACTCCCAGAAATCCTAGCCAGCCTAACTAGTACTGATGGCTTCTGGGAGTTGCCATCCAAGAACATCTGAGGACCATTCCCAGAAATCCTAGCCAGCATAACTAGTAGTGATGGCTTCTGGGAGTTGCCATACAAGAACATCTGAGGACCAACGATTGGAAACCACTGACTTATTCCAATATTCGTAGCTCTTCTCCACCTACTGCCCTCTAGGTGCTTTGTGTTCTAGTCTCCATCACTCCCAAACATTGGCGCCAAGATGGTTGGGACTAAGGAGCACCATAGTCCCAAAACTCTGGAAGACACATTGGAGGAAGGCTTTCTAACACTACTCCTCCAGCTAGGACCAAATGGATTAGTCAATGCTTGTGGAAAAATCATAATCCAACAGATTCTGCAGAAGGGTTTTTTTTCAGATGTCAAGGACTACAACTTCCATCAGGCTCAGTGAGCACAGACAATGGCCAGGGATGATGGCAACTGTAATCCAAAACATCCAGAGAAACTGAGATTAGGAAAGTAGTGCTCAAAGCAATCTTGTTGTTCTCATTTCCATGAATCAGTGACTATGCTGGGGAATGTTCTTTCTTCAGCTGCCACAATAATCTCCTATTGTGTTTTTGTTCACTCCAAAATGAGCCAAGACAAAGGCAAAAGACGTCTTTAGTCCAAACAATAGGAACATGCTTGTTTCATGCAAAGAATTTATAGCTCCCCTTCATTAAATACATTTTTCCAGGACAGCTTACAAAATGAAAACACAAAACTTTGAGCAAAATCGCTAACAAAAAACAATGGAGTTTTTTAGAATGGCCAACAAAAGCAGCCGCCTAAGCAGCAGATATCAAGGTGAGAGTCAAAAAAGTCTGGGAAGATCAAAGGGTCTCTACCTGCTGCCAAACAGACACCAGAGTAAGCCAGCAAGCCAGCCAGAAATCCTGGGGAGAGCATTCCACAGAAAAGGCCACCTCTTTCTCACCTCAGAACTGTAAAGGAATTATGGGGGGATCTGATGATAATTTTAGGGACACAAATATTCTCCTAGGAGAGAACTGGACCTCTCTGGAACTACAATTAGTTTCCACTCTTGCTGCTTTTAGGAAGGGCATGATGCCACCTGTTTTTAAACTGGCTTCAGATGTCGCTTCATTTATTGTGTTTATTTTAAATGTTTGCAGGCTTGAATAATATTAATGTTTTTTGCTGTCATCTTCGGTTTTATTTGATTTTAATGACTGTATTATTGAATTTCGGCTTATTAGTTGTTTCCTCCTATTCAATCCATCAATCTATCAGACTCTTGGCATTTGACGTGTAGCCCCTAAATCAGACCTGGGCAATGTGCGGCCCCCGGGGCCACATACAGCCCGAGAGCCGCTCCAATCCAGCCCGCCCGTCGCCACTCCTGTCCAGCCCTTTCGTTGCCGCTGAGTGAGCCGGAGCACTGGCTGCGGTCAAACAGCATGACAGTAAGCAAAACTCGCAAGATCCCAACGTCAGATCTCGCGGGTTTTGACTGTTAGTCTTGAGCTGCAGGCTGCAGAGCCTGCGGCTCAAGAGGCCGGAAGCGATCCTTGCGCAGGCGACGTGATGACGCATCACGTCGCCTGCGCGGGATACAAGACAGTTGGAGAGGAAGGCTGCGCGGGAATAGTTCAGATTTTTCATGTGGCCCCCTATAGAAATTAATTTCCCACCCCTACCCTAGACAGAGCCCCACCACTGTCCTTTACCACTGTCTTGGCTTTCATGCAAGAGTGAACAAACTAATATATCCTATGAGGGAAAAGGCAGCAAACAAACAAAACTAACAGAAAAGAATACTGAAAACAATTATTGCTGCTCAGGCTGAGAAAGAGGTTTAAGGAATCATTGCCTTCATTTACTTCTTGGAAGAGGGTCTAACTGAGGTACTGTACACAACTGTATGCATACATGTACTCATACTAGATAGACCCACTGAGTTCAGGCTATGGTGGTAGCCAAACCAGCTGCTTTGTGACCAGTGCTTGGAAAAATAACTTTATTGTACTACAACTCCCAGAATTCTCCAGATAATGTTGCCACTGGCCACGTTGACTGGGGGACCCTGGGCATTGTGGTACAAAATAAAAATGAATTTTCCTCAAGGTCTGGATACCCTATGCAAGCAAGCTCAATGCCTTCCTGTCACATGGAGTAGTTTCTGAAAAACAGAACCAAACTTTAAGAGGTAAGCAGGAATATGGGCAGTCTGCAGCTTGTTGCTTTGAGCCAGAGCAAATTGAATAGATGAGGCAGTAAGGACAGGGCTGAGAGTGCTTTCCCATCAGAGGGAGGATGGTTAGCATGCTACCCCAACCCATTGGCTTTCTGGGCCTCAGTGCTGTTGAATTTGCTGCCAAGCCATTGAAATTTGGTGGTACATTTGCTGTTAAAACAAGATGTACTTTTATTTTTATTTTTTAAAGGTAATTCTGCCACTGAATTCTGGCAGTGTGGTGACAAGAAATACAGCTCTTGAAGGAATCGGTGCCTCCTCAACCCTGAAAACTACCAATACCTGCTTCAAAATTCCAAGTTTAAACAGCTGATCCATATGGTGTCCTGCTTGAGTAGTCAAGCTCAGCATTTGCCTGCACACCAGGCCCTGACATGTCAACCAATCTGAAGCACAGCAACATGAGATTCCACAATCAGAGAACTAGTCCCATGTCTTGGAGATGGGGTACACTCTATGTGGATCCATTCACTTTCCCCAGAATCCCTTGCCTCCCCATCCAGTTAAAGAGCCTCCAGCGACAGATTTACCTTGGTGCTTACCTGCTCCGCTTCCTCTTTGCTCATGGCCAGCGCCAGCTGTAACTGCAGCTCCTCCTCCCCACTGCTCTGGGGCCAAGCCTGCTCTGCTTCCACTGGGGCATTGGCCAAAGATGAAGAGGCTGAAGAAGCTGTGAAATGACACAGAGACCAAGGAAGAAAGGGTTAATATCACCAAGAGGATGCAGGGGCAAGAAAGTCCTCTAGAAAGGCCCTTCCAACAACATTCAAGGGGGAGAAACACAAAGTGTGTGTGTGGGGGGGGGGAGTTCAGAAAAGGAAATCAGCACCTACTGGTAGATGTCAGATCTGTGTTGATCAGCAAGGGTTTATTCACTTAGTTATTTACAGCATTAACATCTCACTCTAAAACTAGAAAGGCTCTTCCAGTAGTTTATGTATCATTAATTTTAAGAAAGAGAAGATAAATCCTGTTTTTAGGCTGATAATCTCCAAAAACATGATACAAAATGAAAAAGTATGGGTGAGGGAAAAGGAAAAGAAGAACACTCAGGCACAACTTCAGGTTATGACAGTGATCCCCAACCTTGGGCCTCCAGATGTTCTTGGACTTCAACTCCCAGAAATCCTGGCCAGCAGAGGTGGTGGTGAAAGCTTCTGGGAGTTGTAGTCCAAGAACATCTGGAGGCCCAAGGTTGGGAACCACTGGGTTATGAGGTTCCTAGCACATAAATGATACTTTGGGGCAGGCAGGCAAAGCACCGTAAATCTTATTTTTCAGAAGGATTGATGGAGGCTTTGCTATTCACTCTCTCTTCAATAACTGCCCAGAGTAGACCTTTGGTCTAGATGGGCGGGATAGAAATCCAATCAATCAATCAATCACGTTGTGGCACAGCTGCTGGATTAACAGCAGCAAAATTCCCAGCCCTCCTCTGTACCTTTGGTTGTGGTGATTGGTAAATTTTCAGCCTAAGTATTCCTCACCTGCAAAATGGCCAGACTAGGTGCTCTAGGAATAAGAATGGGAATTGATTTCCAGATTCAAGATTTAATTCTATTTCATAGAAATTCCCAAGAAGCCTACTCTCCAGGGGTGGGTGAGACCAAGAGTTAACAGCAGGGCTCAAAAACACCAGCATAATTCAGTTCAAATTTTTTTATTACCAGGAACTAAGATTTCGAAAAATCATTTCAGTCTTTTACAAGGGGGGTGGGAATAAATCACCGACTGTTGTTTTTTAAGGAACAGGAACTAACTTTCTACGGAACTCCAGAGGGCCAGCCTTGGATCTGAAAAAGACCAGGTCTCCTCACTCTGCTGGAGACAAAATATTTATGTAGCTCATGAAAAGCTCTGTAGTAACTCAGATGTAGATTGTTATTTGGGTGTGAAGATTACGCTAATATACAACTCACCAGTTTAGTAAGCAACTGAGCTACACATTGGCATCAAGTTCCAGTGGTGAACCTCATTTTATTATAACATTTATACCCTGTCTTTCCACAAAAAGATAGCACTCAAGGCAGCTTACAATAATAAAAAACTCCATCTAGATAAAATCATACTTGGCTAAAAAATAATAAAATCCTACAAACCAACCCTACTGAAAAACCATTCAACCTCCAGAATTATATGGTCACAATTCCATGCACCAGTTAGAAGTTGTATGTTGCTCCAACTGAAGATCCCAGAACCTCTTCAAAAGTAGACCCACCTACACAGTATTGCAGTAATCAAAGTATGAGGTAACTAAGGCATGGATGACTGTTGCTAAGTTAGGCTAACTCAAGATAAATCAAAATTGGTGCACTAAGGAAAGTTGTTCAAAGATGTTCCATCCCATTGCTGTCATGTGGGAGTCCAGCAACAGTGCGGTCAAGGAGCATTCCAAGATTATGAACCTGACTTGTCAGGGTGAGAACAATTCCTTCAAGAACAGGTTGGATCACAATTCTTGAAACTTTCTGCTGGCCAGTCACACCTCCATCTTGCCAGGACTAAGTTTCAGCTTGTCCACCCTCCCAGATTTGTGGAGGTTTAATTAAAATAAAAATAAAAACAAAAAAACGAAACAGGTTATTCCAAGCCTCACATCAGTCCAGCCCTCAAAAATAATAAATGGAACCAAGTTTGGTTTCCCATCCAACCATGAAACTCAGCCAACTTTACAGGATCTTTGTGAGCATAAAAAAGTGGTGGGAATGACTTTGAGCTCCCATAATAAATAGTACCAGTTTTAGGACATCTGTCCTGCACTGCAGAAATTATTCAGGTACATGTAGCTCATGCTTTACCATCTTCCACGCCAAAGAGTTTGTGAGATAATGTGCAACAAATCAAAACAACGTGCAGGGGTATTAAACAGTTTGGCTCTAGCCATGACAAAAAGCCCTTGAGGCAGGGTTGGAGCATTTCCAAAACTGAAAAGGCTCCCCCTTTTAGTACAGGACAGTTATTAAGTCTTTAGCTTCCCCCAAACCCCAGCCTGACCCAGGAATCTAAGACATTACCAATATTTGCAGAGGCAGGAAAGAACCCACTACAAAATATGGGAGCCTGTGGTTACTTGGGAGGCAGAAAGTGTGGTGAAAGAAGTTGTTTCTTTTCCAACCCAACCTTTAATGTCAATAGCATGTTTCCTCATAAAAGGCTGTGCACAATGTGTGAGAGTTCAGTGAATTTCTGAACAGTGTCGACACTTACACTGTCCTATTTTGGCCTTTTCACATTTCTAACACTTAAGAGTGAAGAAACAGAGTTAAAGAGTTGGTTGAAAATCAGGGTGGATCACAATTTAAATAATAATAAAAAACAGATTTCTGATAACTGAAATCAAAAATGGATTTTTTCTGATCTAAATCATGATTTAAATCAATTTTTTTAAAAAAAAAACCTATTGATTTTTATCCACCCTATTGAAAACTAAGATGCAAAAAAGGAACCCAGCTAGGTTGTTGAGAAGGGAATATTTCCGTTTCAGAGTGTTGTCGTCTTCTTCCAGGGGCCCGAACTATCCAGCTAGAGCTCTAGGCTGATCATCATTTAATGTCTCCTATTCATTTCTTCCCTTCTTTAATTCTTTCTTCTAACTTCCACCCAGAAGGCCAAAACCTCTTTCCTTAGGTCCTTCCATAATACTTAAATCATTTGGGCAGCCATTCACATAACCCTCTAATTTTCATACCCTACTGCATCTTTCCATAACCTCTGGCCCTCTAAATATGTAGGACTATGCCTCTCATCATCCCCACTAGCTCTACTGACTGGTGATAATAGAGACTGTAATCTAGCACATTTGGAGAACACCTACTTGACTAAGGCTCCGCTGCTATGGCTATATAGAAGTACATATAAAGTTAATTAGTGGACATTCCTCACCTATTTCTTCTGTCTTGTTTTCCTTCCCTTTCTCTCTAATCTCAATGACCACATTTTAAATTGTTAAGCCCTTTTGGGCATGGACCAGTCCTATTTTGTAAAACACTATGAACACCAATGGCGGCATGATTTTATAACCTGTCCTGAGCTAATAAGGAAGAGAAAAGTTTTTAAACTTGTAGAAAGCTGAGGTTTAGACCAGAGAATTATATGATTCTGTTAGATTAGTAGGCGCCACACTGAAGCGTTCAAACTTTAGATTCTTTTGGCAACATTAAGGTTGAATTCAGTACACAAAAATATTCGGTACATGAAGGAAAAAAGCAAAATAGGGCTACCGCCTTGACCGATACACAAGGAATCATCATCACAGCTCAAAGGTTTGCCAATCCAGGGCAGAGTTGGGTTGCTGGGGGAGAGGAAAGGGAAGGGAAGGAGAGTAAAGGGGAGAGGGAAGGGGTCCAACCACTGTGCCATGACCTGAATACCAGCATCTTCCACCTCCCCCTCTCCAAGCCCGAGACAGCCTGGCACCAACTGTCACCCCTCATTAGTACAAGGATGTGTACAACTGCGCAAGCTGTGTCATCAGGGGTAGAAAACTATCCATTGCTGAGCTGGAAGTGGAAGAAGAGCCATGCCATCCCTTCAATAGCCAGAACTGCCCTTCTAATTTTGTCCTCTGTCCTTCTCCCCAGGAAGCTGTTTTTTCTCAGAGGTCCGTGAAGTACCGTAAATGAGGAACACTCACATTCCCTATCTTCCTTTGTAAACATACCGATACACATATACAGCAAAGACTTTCACCCCCTCTAACAGGATGTTCCGAGAGGAAATGCTGCCCCACGTGCATGCAGGTCTAAGTCAGAGCTTAGGAAATTTCATTTTTGGATAATGGCCCTCAGAATCTGTGAGCCAGTTCCAGCAGCCCACAGCTGCTCAAAGTGCCATAAAAAGTAAATATTCACCCAAATCTTCCCTCCAGGGCATCAGGGCAATACAAATGAGGTTAAAAAAAGTTTCCCAAGTTGGTTTAGATGAAGCAAGGTAACAGGGGACCAAATTCCACCTGTGAATAAGAGAATGTTATCTTTTCAAGATCCATGATCACTAATGGAAAGCTCTTCTGTTAGGTGAGCAAGCTTGAGGTGACCAAATGTTTGTACTGTCACCAGTCAAGAGATGTGATCTGGCAGGGAATGTGTAAGAACACTGTTTGGATGTCTCCTGTATTTGCTCCTTGACAAGGAAGAAAATAATTTAACATGCTAAAAAGGAGGCAGTGATTTAGTTAACTCTGAATCCAATGAGATACTCCCACACTTCACTAGAAGCCTCATGGCAAAGTGTTATATTGCAGTACTGTGGCCAAACTCTGCTCACGACTGGGATTCAATCCCAGGTAGCCCACTTAAGGTTCACTCAGCTTTCCATCCTACCAAGGTTGGTAAATTCAGTACCCAGCTTGTTGTGGGGGAAATGTGTAGCCTGCATAACTGCCCAGAGAGTGCTTTAAGCGTTATGGGGTGGTATATAAGCAACATACTTTGCCTTTTGCTTTAGAAATGCTTCTTAATGGCCTTTAGGACCAAGTTTTCTGGCAGTTTTGTTATGATGCTACTAACTAGTTTCTTGGGCATTGGTAAGGAGACAGTTGCTAGGTAACAGGATGGATGTGCCACCTCAATACAAAAACACTTCCAAATACGAAATGAAAATCAGCAGGCCCTACAGTTGCCTAGCAACCATAAAACCATCAAAATGGCTGCCTGGAAAGGATGTAGTGATTAGTTGTGGTAGCAGGTAAAGAAATGAGAAACACCACATGATTTGGAGAGCAAGGGAATACGGGTGTGAACAGCTGGAACAATTTTGAATTGTATGGGTACTCTTCACTGGAAATATTCCATCCACAGCATCTAGATGTCTTTTTGGAGCCTGCCAAGCAATTCCAAGCCAAAACTTCAAAAAATCTGGGAAGCAGAAAGATGGCTTTTGGGGAGTCTAGCTTTCCATGCTGGCTGAAGGAATCTGAGAGATGCACCAAAATACTAAAAAATGGGGAAAAACACTGTGGCTTTCTTATACAAGGTCAATGAAAGATATGCTATAGAACTGGTCCTCCAAGAGACCAAAGAGGCACATGTCTCATTGGGCTACTAGAAAGCTCAGATAAAATAAAATAATCTAGCAGGAGAAGAGGGCTCTAGGCAGGATCTGGAGCACTGAAGCTGTCTCCCCAGCTCCCAATGTCTGCAGGCCTGGCCAAGATTCTAGATTACAAACCAGACTCATTTTTTGAAGAAAAAAATAATGTGTGGCTCCATCCATGTTTCTGTCCTTGTACTTTGCTTTCCAAGGAGAGGCCAACTGATAGGAAAGAACGGGGACACAAAGATGCAACATGAAGATGTAGAGTTCAAAAATGTTTCCACTTTATAACTATGGCTTTTGGAAAATTTCAGCCAGCATGGCCATTAGCTGTACTGGCTGGGGAGCTGGAGTGTTTTATTCCAAAACTGTAGCTTTTCTAAGCAATACTATCTGCTCCAACCAGCAACACCTCTTAGAGGGTCTCAGGTCCCCATCACCCCCTTCATTATAGCTGAACTTAATAAACCAGGGGTTAACTCAGCCTCTTCTACATAATAAACGCTGTTCTACTACTACACTATTTGGCCTTTTACACCCAGGTTTAGAATTTGGTTCATCTATCTGACCAAATTAGGAGAAGCTGCTTTTAAATGGAAAACAAATTATCTTCATTCTTTCTCTAATTAGGCCCCAGTTCACTATCTTTCTTGTCAGATGGACCTCTTATCTTGGGGTTCCGGCCCCCTGGCTCCTCACCACTAATACTGCAGGGATCTTGATACCCTGAAGAATTATTCAGAACTATTCAGTACTGTATTAATGTCCTTCCTCTTTGTGTGATTTTATAACTTCATAATTTCTTTTAAGACCAGAGCAATGGAGCAGGGCTTTCTTGTATTCAACACCCCCCCATGCACATTTTTATTACAGTCCTCTGTAATAAATTCCTTTTATTTTTGCTGAGCAACTCAGAAGAGCAGGAAAAAACGACTCCCATTCCCTTATCTAATCCTGCCTTGACAGGAGCTCTGCAAACAACAGCAGTGGAATTTGATCCAGAGGTTATCGGCCTGAAAAGAGCACCTCCGTATCAAGGTGGACTGTAACTTGGCTTCACAGCCTGGCGACCTGACAAGCATGAGAAACGAGAGGATGTAGTTTCTCACCCAAAGCTGCATTTTTATGAGGGTGGACAACTACAACCAGAGATTTTCACTCAGCAGGAGAATGAACAGAGACATAGTTGAGACAGACATCAAATAACTTCGCAGGATGACTTCACAGAAGAGTCTGAAGCAGAGAAGGGGTTCACTTTTTGTTTTTCTACTGCCATCAAGAACAGACTGCAGACTAGTGGTGAACAGGAATTTTTCAAACATCCACATCGCCCCACCTGTGCCTCCATCTACGGAACCAAAAGCACATGTTTTTTGTGTACTGCCATTTAATCTATAGCAGATCTAGGAAACCTGGTGCTGTCTAGGTATTCTGGACTATGTGTTCCATGGCTAGTTTTCAGAGATTATGGAAGTTGTAATCCTAAACATCTGAGAGTGTTAGACTGGCTGTTCCTAATCACACAGGCATTACTGACATCTGCTTTTTGTTGGAGTTAAGTGTATTCTCCAGGCAGGGGTCTAAAGGCCAGAACAACCCAATTGCCACATATTGTCAGGCTGCACAACAAATTATTATAGCCTACTCTTTTTATGTGAGGAATATGAGAAACAGCACACACGAGAGAAGGCTTTCAATTGAACCCAGGCCTGTTTCTGTAGCAAACCTGTTGCATTAGATACCTTCAGACCAGAACGTCTCGACCTTTGGCTCTCCAGATGCTTTTGACTACAACTTCCAGAATCCTTGACCACTAGCCATTTGGCCCGAGTCTTCGGGAAATGGAGTCCAAAACATCTGGAAGTCCAAAAGATCCACTGGTTCCAACCATGCAATACTGCTCTGTCACCATCTCACAATAAAAAGTTTTGCAAGTGCAAAAAAAAACAACAACAAGCACTCAGATGAAGTGACATTGCTGATTTTTTGAAGGGTGTGGGAAAAGGAAGAATAGCAATCATGTTTCCTTGGGTAACTGTTACCTTTTTCTTAAAAATTGAAGTGATGAGCAAAAATGCATAATTGCAACCACAATCATTTCAGATTGGATACGGCCTCCAAGTCACCATCTAGCCTGGGGTGAAGAAACTTTTCATACACTGATGAATCATTACTTCAGTTGTATCTTACTATGAACCAAGCTGGCTGGGGCTGATGGGAACTGAGATCCAACAGGACCTGGATGCCCACTGTTTCCCTGGCCTTGATTTAGCCATTAAAGTAAGAATTACAAGTGTCTTAAAGGTCACCATTCTTACTTAGTAATAGAACTTTTAGATGGCCCAATAACATTGGGAAGGGTGGAAAGAAAATTCATCACCTCCACTCCTGGTAATTCAATGTTTCTGACAATATTTCTTATATTTTCTTCTTCCTTCTATATCTTATTGCCTCTCTCAATTTCTTCTAAAGCAGTGGTGCACATGATTCCACCCACTCCCCCTGGACCATTTTATTCACACAGCAACCCTATGAGGTCTCTTAGGCTGGAAGAGAATGACAGGCCCAAAGTCAATCACTGAGTTTCATGGGTAAGTTCGGACCAGAACACGGCCCTTTGAAGTCTCAGTCCAACACTCCAACCACCACAACTGACTGCCCCAAAGACCTGCATAACTGAGTTGAGATTTGGACTTTGGTCACCCAAGTCAAGATTTGAACCTTGGTCACCCACTACGTCCATGTGGCCAAAGAGCCACAGATTTGGACAACACAGAGACCCCTCACGGGCTAGATCAAGAAAGCATATGGGAAATGAAAATGTGCATAAAGGAAATGAAAACTCACCAGTTGCAGTCTGGGCCAGTTTCTCCTTGGTTTTGAGAGCATGGGCCCGCTCCTCCTTTAGACGCTCATCGTCTTTGAGCAGGGCCACCAGCTGCTTAGCCTTCTCCCGCACATTGACCCCCTGGTCTTTGCCATCACGATCCACATACTGGAAATCCTTTAATGTCTGGATGGCATAAATGTTCTCCTTACACTGCTGCGCTACCCTCTCCGAGCCCGTCTTGATCAGATATTCCATCAGCGTCATGGCCTGGAAGAGAAACCGGAGAAGGAGCTAATGTTCTGCTTGCAATAGAGGGGCAAAGGACCAAAGCCTTCGATCTTAACAGGGAAGGAGGCAGGGAGTACTGTGTACCAGAGAAGAGCCAACAGTTCTACAAGGTAGGCTCAAATGAGCTGGGATGCAGGATCTGTAGGTTTAATATGACAAGGGTGGGCAAATATTTCTCACAATATTCCTTGCGTGTTTTTTTTCCCTTCTATTTCTTCTTGTCTGTCTCTATCTCTTCTAAAGCAGTGGTGTACAGTACATGGAACCACCCACTCCCCTGGAACATTTTATTCACACAACAACCCTATGATGTATCTTAGGCTGGGAGAGAAAGACAGACTCAAAGTCAATCACCGAGTTTCAATTGCTAGCACATGATAGCTGGCATTTTTGTAAAAATTAAGCCTGAAAGGCAACAGGGAACAATGACAAAGGGATGGATTCTGCATTAAGATGGCCAAGATTTGCTTTCAAATCCTTTTTTGTGCATCAAGTTCACTAGTTTGGTAGGAGAGCTTGGAATTTATGCATTAGAAATCATTACTGGTGTCACCACTCTTTATGAACAATGAGGGGCCAGGATGTCAGTGTGGGCGGCATATAAGTTAAATAAATAAATAAATAATATCCTGCTGAAGCACTACTGTATTTGTTTAGTGCAACAAGTAACAGTACTACTGCAATATTGTTATTAACCTTGTTATGTAAGGTGACCTGAGACTCCATGCTACTTTAAGTGGATAGGATTTGTTCTGCTCTATTTTAATCTTGAAAATAAGGGTTCCCACACCACATGATGTAGGAGACCTTGTCTCTTCCCCAATAACTAAAATCACAAGAAATGTGGGACACAGACAGCCATTCACACTTCTGGGAGTTCCTTGCTCTCGGTGCTCCACTGAGTTAGACTAGAAGTCCAATAGCTAGCTGGCAAATTATGGGAATTGTAGCCAAAAGGAAAGCTTTGGGAAGTCTACTCTAGATTCTTCAGGAATTTATTCAAGTATTACCTAAGTGACTTTTGGGGGCACTTCATTCCACAGAGAAAGTAAGTCTAGTGTGTAGATTTACTTCTTTTCTCATCTTGGATCCACCCGCCCATCAATTTCATGGTGTCATTCTAATGCTGAGATCATGAGAGGGGAGGACTACAGTGCCCATCGTTCCTGCCCAATGGCCATGATGACTGGAACAAGAGAATATATTCGAACAGATTAGGCTGAGAGAGAGTGGCTGACCCAGGACCATACATCTCAGAAATGGCCATGATGACTGGAACAAGAGAATACACTTGAAGTAACAGATTAGGCCGAGAGGGAGTGGCTGACCCAGGATTGTACATCTCAGAAGAGCCAGCCTGTGCGTCCTTGGGCAAGCTGCACTAGATGGCCATGATGACTGGAACAAGAGAATACACTTGAAGTAACAGATTAGGCCGAGAGGGAGTGGCTGACCCAGGATTGTACATCTCAGAAGAGCCAGCCTGTGTGGCCTTGGGCAAGCTGCACTAGCCCACGATGCCTTCAGAAGAAGGGAATGATAAACTATTTCTGTGTATTCTCTACCTAGAAAACCCTGGAAAGAGTCACCATAAGTCAGACCTGACTTCACAGCAAATTATTACTAAGGGTAGCACCAGTCATCTTTTGAGCAGAATTTAGAGACACTACTTTCTGGATTATATTTCCCAAAATCCCCAACCAACATGGCTGGCTGGGGGATTCTGGAAGTTGTAGTCCAAAAAGGTAGTTTCCCCATGCTTTGCTTTTCAAAACAAGAAATGCAGAGTGTTTAGAGCCAGGGTTTGTACCCACATCTATTACCTTATAGACATGACGCCAATTTTTGCCATGGTCATTGAGACGCTTCCAGATCATGCTCATGATTTCGGAAAAGGCTACCACATTGTAGGTGAGGTCAGCAATTTCAGACATTAAAGAGCTAGAGGGACCCCATGGGTCATTTGATGTGGCTTCTCGCACTTTGATCTCTGCTTCCGAGTAATTGTGGACGATATTTTTCATCTGGCGGCGCAGCGAAGAGGTCGACATGTTGGCGGTGTCTCAGATGGAGAGCAAACTCCCCTCTCCCACCTGTCAAAGACTGCTGGCAATGCCCCGAAGTGGGACCAGTTAATGTTGGTGGTGTGGAGGTCTGGGCCAACCAAAATCCAAGGGACCCCTTAATGCAGATAATCCCCTGTATCCAATTGAAACAGAACCAAGCTTGCTTCTTGGGGCCACTATAGTTGTTCCTGTGCCACTCCAACGCACTCTCTAGCATGCTGCAGACTCCCTCTGAGGCCACCCAGCCATGGCAGCCTTTCCACCATGCACCTGAAGAAAAAGAGAGAGGGAAAAATTATTCTGCAATCCGTCCTTTTCCTGGATCTGGTTGGGACAAAAGATGGAACTCTTCACCTTTCCTATTCTTATGAACGAGGACAGAGAACTGCTATATTCCTCTCACCAGTCAGGATGGCGACAACTTTGCAAGCACTCTCAGAAAATACACTGGCAACAGTGAGAACAATGCTTTGCCCAAATTGCTCATTTTGTGAGTGTGAGAAGCTGTGCATTTGCATAAAATTAGAATGACTAGTATTTCGTTTCATATTTAACATGAACCACTGGATGGACTTGTTTGCATCAGTTCTTCTAGGCTTACAACATGATGGTGGATGTGTTTGCATGTACCTTGCTTCTCGTTTTATGTTCAAGTACAAAGTACAAGGATCTCAAGAGAGCGGGGACAATCTTGTTCTCAGATTTGGAATTCATCATCAACATGTCATCTAACCAAGACAGCCTAATCCAATAAGAAAAAAGAATTTAGCAGGTGTTCTTCACATACCTAGCTGGAACAGTTGCGCAGCTTGTCCAGACATTGCCATTTTATCTCAGGAATTACAGGCCGCAGAAGCTGGCTTTAGGGGGTTTTTTTGCCTCCAGAGTCTGGAAAGACTACTTTGGGGGCAACTACAATTCTAGGACCTCACAGCAAATATAGCTAGTAATCATGCTGGCTGGGTATACTGGCAATGATACTTGAAACAGGTAACTTCTCCAGGTTCTGCTGGTTCCTAGATGGTGCATCCAAATGGTTGTAAAAGTCAAAATTTTGCCATCAAGCTACTTTGAAAGGTAAAGGTTCTCCTTGACATTTAGTCCAGTTGTGTCTGACTCTAGGGCGCAGTGCTCATCCCAATTTCCAAGCCACAGAGCCAGCGTTTGTCCAAAGACAGTTTCCGTGGTCATGTGGCCACTGCAATTAGACACGGAATGCCGTTAACTTCCCACCAAGGTGGTACCTATTTATCTACTCACATTTACATGCTTTCAAACCGCTAGGTTGGCAGGAGCTGGGACAAGCGACGGGAGCTCACTCCATCGTGCGGATTTGATCTTACGACTGCTGGTCTTCCGACCTTGCAGCACAGAGGTTTCTGCGGTTTATCCCGCAGCACCACCATGTCCCAACCAAGCTACATTTAGCTTGTGCCAAATGAGGTTGAGTTCTAGCACAGTAAAGCTACTCAATACAGTTTCATCTTTCATTCTGAACCCAACAAGAGCCATAATATTCTGCAAGACACCAAAGTCATGTCCATCATCGTATTGGTAAAAGCCACGATTAGTCCCTTTTCTCCTCCTGCAGATTCACCAGCCATCAAGCTTCTGAGCACAGACATGAAAGTTAAATAATTTAAAAGCAAATGGAATTGGAATGAAGATCCCTCAGGAGCAAAGTTCTATGAGACTGTGATCAAATTGCCAAACACAAATTATTCTGGACCAGATCTCCATAGTCTTGGCATTTTAAGAAGGTCTAATCAAGTGCCCTTAGAATGCTGTCCCTGATTTAATGCATTCAGATGTGTTTGGACTATACCTCCGATGTCACCTTCAACAGCTATGGTAAGATATGCATCTCAATACATACAGTAACATACAATGGGAAACAGACACAGCCTGGGCTGTGGAGCTGCCTCTGTCCAGTCCTTTTCTGGTCATGTCTGGCTATGCCTACTTTTCCCAGGTCCCTGCAAGCCAACACCAATTGGAGGGCAACCTGTTCTCCACTCCTGATTTGAACACCCAGAAGCACAGTTTAAAAAATTATAGTGGTGAATGTGTCAAGCAGCAGCCCCTTGTAACATACTACTTACAGAGGTGGTTCATTCTAGTCCTGGGCGATAAGATTTTTAGCACAGGAGCCCCCTGCAGGAACAACTTCAATTTAAAGGAACTTTAAATTGAAGTATGCTCTAGCTAAGTGTGTGATCTCCAGTGGTTCAAAGGCCATCCACACTCATCTCTGGATCTTGGAGGCCCATTCTTGTGCTCCCAATTTTTTTTTTAACACAAATGATGTGAGGAATTTTAAAATGGAAAAGCCTGCTTCTACCCTCTACTGGTCAATTCCTTTTTTTAAAAAAAGTCTGGGAAGTGTGAGTCCTCAGTGGTGTTGTAGCCCCCTCAGAACACAGCAAAATTATCCCCCATAGTCCCTAGATGGCATAAGAGGGCCTTCTAGGGCAGGGGTGGGCAATTAATTTCCAATGGGGGGGGCACATGAAAAATTTGAACTGTGTTTGGGGGCCGAACCAACTTTACTTAAAAAAAAATGAAACAGTGATGTTATGATAGTTTTTATTTTAAACTTGTTAATCTCCACAAATACTAAAGAGGTTTTTTGCGGTATGTTAAAGATAAGCAACTGATCAACTTTAGACAAAAAGCTACAAATGGTTTTGATGTTCAAAACTGTCAGCGGGCCGGACAGGAGCGGTTCGCAGGCCATATGTGGCCCTCGGGCTGCACTTTGCCCAGGTCTGTTCTAGGGTGTGGGAGCGCTGGAGAAATGTTCTGTCTCATGCACTCATCAATTTAATCCTAGTGTGACTCCTTATATTTTTGTATTATACCCTTACTTGTTTATTTAAACCACTCACACTCCACTTTTCTAGTAAAACAAACCCAAAGCCCACATAAAATTCCTTTCTCCCCATTTCTAACTCTTATTATATATATCTCCCCATGTCCCACCCTTGGTGCTTCCTGTCATTATTTATCGTTCCAAGTTATCTCAAAGCTTTGGAAGCATCCTAATTCAGTCTCCATACAAAAGGAGAATCAGTGTCTGGGACGCAGGACGTCCAAGCTCAGATTCCCGCTTTGTCGTAAAGGTAAGTGGAATGGCTTTGGTAAGCTGGTCATTGCTCTCAGCCTGTATATCTCACACCGCTCTTGTGTGCACTGTCTGGATATGTGTGTCTTGTACATCACATTGAGCTCCATGGAGAAAATGGCCATAGTATAAGAGGAACAAACTTTCCCAGTCACAAATATTTGTAAGCACTAACTACATTTTCTCTGGATTTCCTTGTAACACCTATAAATCAGTGGGGGTTTAAGGAGTAAGGACTCTGATTCTATGTTTTCTACAACACAGATGCATACTGTACTGAACTTGTTCTTTCTTTCTTTGCCCTAAAGTTACCTGGTAGTTTACAGTGACTGGGGTTATTCTGTATGTCCCAAACAGGTTTAAGAACAGAGTTTGCAAAAATTAGTTCTTGAACTATACCTCTCAGAACTTCTGAGCCAGCAATGCTAGTGGGGGATTCTGGGAGCTGTAGTCCCCCTAAGGGCATGGCCAAACTCTAGTGAAAAAAAAACCAATTAGGAAGGCCTTTTCTTCTAGCTATAATGTATTTCCTTTCCTAATTAAGGAAACTGCATGTTAGACTATTGAAGTGAAAGTGTCCCTTTCCCCTAGAATCCTTCCAAATCAGTATTGTCTTAATTTCCACATTCTTAAGTGCAGTACCTGCTCTTGTTCCCTCTGCTCCACTGTGTCTTCTTCAGTTGTTGCCCATGTTCTTGGTTTAGGATTCTACAGCTGGAAGCACTATTGAGTAAAACGGAAAGGGGTGGAAAAAGGAAGTTTCCAAACCCCGACGGCTGTGACTCATGCCTTAGAAATGTGGGCTTCCTTCCTTTAGACATTTAAGAGCCTTGGGGGTCAGGCAGGGTTAGGGGCTCCAGGAAATAGAGGACAGAAGCCTATGACTTGCTTCTCTTCTGCTGCTCTGATCTCACAGTTGCCCATCACATTTCTAGGGCCCTGGGAGCCTTGTTTCCTAGTCCTCCATGTTCTTCTGGAGGAATTTTTGTCAAACCCAGAAATGCACTAGGGCTACTCCATGCTGCAAGAGAGATTCTTTTGCATGCTGAGATGCAACTTTGCAGTTTTTATCAAGAGAGGGAGGCAGCTGATCTGAGTGCAGCCCTCCAAGTGTTGTGAATCTACAGCTCCCATGATCCATACCACTGGCCATGTTCGTTGGCACAAATGGAAGCTGCAATCTGAAGCATCTGAAAGGCAGTGAATGGTAAAGGTTGACCAAAGTGGCCAATAATGCCTAAGGATAGAAATAAAGAACATTTGGAGGGCCCATCTTGAGAAGGAACATTTAGACACAAGAAGTTGGCTGTGGGTCAGCATGTGAAACAGTGGTGTGTAGCAGTAGCCGCACTGGTTGTTGTTATGTGCTGTCAAGTTTCACCTGACGTATAGTGACCCTAATAAGGTTTTCAAGGAATGTGATATATTTAAGGAGGATCTGATCAGTCCCAACACCACTCCTAGTAAGTCTCATGCCTGAGAAGGAATTTGAACCCAAGTCTCCTAAGTCTTCATTCATCTCTCTAACCACCACTACACCCACACTGGCAGATTTAGACTTGAAGAGATCCAAGTCAGCAGGCTTACTGGAGTGACCTTGGGCCATTTAATGTGTCTGGGCCTAACTTATTTCTCAGGGTGTTTGTAAGGTTAAAAAAAAAGGAACCATAAAGACTTATTTGTGGAAACACAGGACGTAAATATAAAGCTGCACAGGAAACTCGGGCGCTTGGGGAGTGCTGCCTAAATCGGGAACTTTAACCCAGAGGTCTGTCGGTGTTCTGTGGGCGTGAAGGTGACCTGATCATAGTAACCTAGCTGGAAGGCATGCTGTGTGCCACTGGATGGAGATCAGACTGTGGAAGGATGCATACATCTGATTCTGGCTGGCACTGTTGTTTCTCTAACAGCCTCTACAGTCAAGGTTACAGGGTGGTGACAGTTGTGGCCCAACAATTTCTGGAGGGCTAGATGTTATTTCCTGGCTTGAAATGATGTTTCTGCATTCTATATAGCAGATCCCACATGATTATGAAATCTATCGCCTGCTGAGGTACACTAGATCTGGGACCCTGGC